GAAGGTATGGATAAGTTCTAAAAATCCGGTTCTCCTTATCTGGGCCATTAACTCCATACGGTCCAGGAAAGCTGGCACACTACCTTTAATGCCCGGTGACCTCAACCTGTGGTCGTTAAACCGCGCCCCGTTGAGGTCTGGCAGGTTTCAGGTCCTGTCGGGGGAGGGCGGGGGGGGGGGGGTGCCAAAGGGCCCCAGTCGTATCTCTGGAACTAATAGTCGGATCGGGAAAATTCAAACAGCATTCAAAAGGGCTTGTCAAGATGCACCAGATACAGTATCGATTGCTTCAATATTTGATCCGTGACGTCACAGGGAGATCAAATAAGGTTAAATCTGTCCAATTTTCTATAATGATGAGCAGTCGGTTCTAAAAAGAGAAATCTAGGCTTCTAAAATGGGTCTGAATATGATGCATATCTTGGATCTAACAGGTGGACAGTCAACTGAATGGATGATGACCTATCATCTCACAAAGGTGGTCAGCCTCGACCAATAAAAAAAACGTAAATGCGTGTTACGTACGAAACGTCATGCTGGATTATTAATTTTCGAGTCGTTATTAAAGTATGACATTCATATGAAGCCACATAAACCTCATTGGCCAATTTTGTTTGCCATATGACGTCACAGGAAGGTCAAAAAGGTCAAATTGTACCGAGTTACATTGGCAAACATTTTATTGCAAAAAGTGACTTATCATGTAAAAAAGGCATCAACAGTCGTATTTAGTCGGCAAAAGATGGATTAGTGTCATAGATACGGCTCTAAACTAATTTTAAGTACAAATGCTGAAAACAATGTGACGTCATCATACTAGTCCCTATATTTTCAAGTCTTTCAAATGGCTAAACCTATCTCTGGGATGAAAGCAGTAAGCTGATCTCTGATATGTAATCCGGTATGCTTAAAATTTCTTCAAATTACCAAAACATTTATAAAAAATCTAAATTTTGAGCTTGAAAACCTCAAGATCTTGAGTTTTTTATTTTAGAAACTAAGGATATCAATTTTGTTTGCCATGGTTTTGTATGTATACATAAATTACAAAAATTACAAATACATAAAAAATACAAAAATTCAACCTATACCTAGGTTGAATTTTTGAGTCACTAGGTTGATTCTGATTTTCCGCAAGTTTTTTCTTTTCCGACCAAAAATGACCGAACACGACCTCACTTTGACATTAACAGTCATGGCCTCATGACCTGAGCTCATGACCTGAGATGACCATAGGAGGACTTGCGCAAAATTGATGTTCGGAGAGGTACTGAAAACGGCGAGTCAACATTTGCGGTCGTTTGTGAGTTATCGGCAAAAGCCTCAGGGGGGGGGGGCCTTTGCCCCCATCGGGTCGCGGGGTAATGCTCGCGGACCTGTGGTTAGTGTCTGGGGGCCTGTGGTTGTTAATGCTCGTTGACCTGTGGTCAGTGCCCGGTGACCGGCGCGGAGACCGCCCACGCCCTGGTTGCGACCTTCCGGCGTATTGGTCTAATTGTATAACATGCGGTGTTACGATTTTTCGGTGTGAATCACCATCCGAAATTCCGAATTCTTATTTGTAAGTCCAGGAAAATAAATACCTACATAATACTTATGCTGTGCACTGTTTAACCCTATTAGTGGCAGGCTCCTGGATGCCCCTATTAGTGGCAGGGGGGGGGGGCTGTTTACGACCCCCCCCCCTGATATCTCGAGATCTAACCCGCGACCGCCTGGGGGGGGGTCGGATCCGACCCCCCCCTCCGTTTTTCTTGAATAACTCATGAACCACTTTCGCTATCTACTTGAAACTTGGCATACCTTCTCCCCCATCAATTTGACGTCTCCTGTGCAATTTTTAAGAAAAAAATTCCAAAAATTTTTGAGATATATCGATTTTAGTGATGTAACTACATGGCGTTTTTAGTCAAAAAGTGGTAAATGTTTAAAAAATCGCCAAAAATCAGGGTTTGAAGCAAATTGCAAATTAAGGACATCAAAAGACGCAGCTCAACGAGTTCTTTAAAATGGCTATCTCGGATTTTGCATAAAATGCGTTTTTCACCCCTAAAAATTCAAAAAACTATATTTTTTGGAAAACAGCTAATAAAATCCAAAATTTTGGGAATTTCCAAAAAACCGGAATATATGTTGTAGAGCTCTATTAGTACATTAGATGCCCCAAATTTCAACTTTCTATCTTGATTTTTGACCCCCAAATTGTAAAAAATAGCTCCAACATGCATAGGGCATGGTGACGTCATAAGCATTTTCGTGAATTAGAGGCACTTCTGAACATCGCATGTGAAAACAAATGGCACCACTAGATTCCTGGGACAAAGCTCGTCTAGAAAAGTGCATTTTTATGTCAAAAATAAAAAGTTGAAAAATTGACCTTTTTTCTTAGCCCTCGTTTTGTTATGTATAGTATAAACGATTTTTTATGCTTTCAATGCACACTTATCACCAGCACAGTGACTTGGGGTCACATATAACCATTACCATCGGATTCGGCATGAAAAATAAGCCATAAAACATGTGTCGCACGCCCATGTAGCAGAAAGTGAAAACCGTGACCTTTCGTGACCTGACCTGACCTTGACCTGTACTTAGTATGACCCCTATACGCACATGGTACCTTCACTAGGCCTTTGAGGTCATTTTTGGTGAGTTTCGAGCAGCAGCTATCGATTCCGCTGTCCGTAAGCCGATTCATGCAAAACCCCTGAATTTGACCTTTGACCTGACCTTGACCCGAAAGTTGACCTCAATCTTAAAATCTTAAGAGTGCTTTGAGAAGGTCTCGTAGAGACCTTTCGAACGCCGCCTCGCGGGGCTCGATACGACCATTGGTTCTCGAGATAACAGGGGGGGGGGGTCGGATCCGACCCCCCCCCAGGCTGTCGTGGGTACGGAAATAGCCCAGGCGGTGCCGGGCTAACGGCCGATTTTCAAAATTCAAACGGCATTAGATTTCGCTCAACGTGATCTACATTTCCAAAAAATAAAAATTAAAAAATGTCAATAGGGGGTTAGAGGGGGGTAAAAACGGGCAAATTGCAGATACATTTTAGACTGTTTATCACGGCCAGGTTTCTGAACCAATCTTAACGCAACTTTTGCCGATCGATAGAGAATGAACCAGGAATTCACATGGATCCTAAAAATATGCATTTTCAAAAATCATAGGCGGATACAGATCATTGAGATTGGGGGTACACAAAAAGTATAGTAAATAAGGTTTTTGTTGGTACTGTTTCTAAAAAGGGTGGTAATGGTCTTGTTATGTTACAATTTTCTTATGAGAGAACGACTACAATTGTATTGGTCATGCATAGGCGGTGTCAGGGCACCTATTAGTGGTGTCAATTTCAGAAAATGTGTGTCCAATGTCCGTCCAATGTCCAATACTTACGTCGACTGTCCGTCCAAAAATGTCCAAACCAGCCATTTGTCCAAAGATGTCCGACACCTACGCAATAGTTTACACTCAACACTGTTATTTAATTTGCTTTTGATGTACGATTACCAGCTCAAAAGTGTTAATCATATCGAAAGCTGAGTTTTATAATAGCCAATCAATGTTAAACACGATTACTTTATAAAAATGTTGAGGTGTAGCAAGCGATTGTCCAAAGTTGTCCAAAGCCCGCTGTCATTGTCCAACCGAATTCGGAATTGGACATTGGACAAAATCGGAATTCCGAAAATTCAAGTTCCGATTGACACCATTAGCACCTATGTTGGGAGGTAAAACATAACCCCCTTTTTGGACGCCTGGATCCGCCTATTATAGCAAAAAGTGTCAAAAGAGGATGCACAATAACTTTGTATATGTTATCACATGATACCTTTCATTCACTGCTCGTAAAACTGGTGCATACAGTTATAATACATCAGCATCGTGATCTTCGCCCAAATGACTCGCTTCACGAATAGGACCCCCCAATTCCCAGTGCTCTGGAGCCGCCCCTGATAAAGTTATGAACTTGAAATTTTCAGGGAATGTGCCCAATTTAGTTTTAGGAACAGTCAGAAAATTTCAGCATCGTAGCTTTAGCAGTTTCGGAGATATTCCCGAAAAACCTGAGGGGTGGATGAAAACAACCCCCCTGCCACTAATAAGGTTAACAATTTACCCCTCGTAAAACTTTCACTAGCATAGTCTTTCGATCGCCTAAACTGCCCTTTTGACTGCTGAGAGTGCTGAGCTGGCCTTCACCCTTGCTCATGCCGCTTCGTTTAAGTCAATCAATTCAGCAAAATCAATCATCATATTCCCTGAGGGAGATTTGATTTGAGGAGCTGTTTGACAGTAGCCTGGGCTGATCAGAGATGATTACTGAACGATCAAGGTGACCTGATCCAGTCACAGCGCTGAACTGAGACAGCGCATATGAACTCAGTGGGGTACGTTTATGCTTATACTTCCCAGAGTTATACCTAGCTGTTCCATAGTGGAGGGATAGCCAGCCGGCCGTGCCCCTCAGACAGTCGTTGGACTAGCTGCAGTAGCAAACCCTATCAAAATATTTGCCGATGCGTCCTGGTGCTGGGATCTTTCAGAAACATCTGCATCATTGGTGCCTGCTTTTAATGATTATCATTGTCAGCTGTTTTAAGGCATTCATCAGGCTCATTTAACTCTGAAAGACTTTAGATTTGAGTTACCGACTACCCTGCAGGCACCAGGCCATTGGTAGTCACATGCGGCTGACACAACACAGCCCCGTGCGACCATACAAACATATAGTACACACAAACTCCGGTCAGACAATACCGGGAACAAATGTGCTTCCATGGACACCGCTGATCCACTCTGATCCGGAGCAGTGCTCGCTGTAAACGTCAAACGTGGTGGCAGGCGAGTCGTAATCAGGCCCCTCAGGACCGCTTCCTTGATTGACTTGGGCTTTTTTTTGACAGAATGTTGACCTCACCCATAAATATTGATTGCTTGATCGCAAATGACTAACCAGGCATTTTAACGACTTGTGTTGTGTTGTGTCGTTCGTTAGGTCACAGCGAACACCTGCAGCCGGCCACGGCTTTTGAGGGCGAGGTGACGGTCGGGGGCACGGCTTTGGCTCTCTACTCCGGCCTGTTCGCCTACGCTGGCTGGAACTTTCTCAACTTCGTCACCGAGGAACTGCAAAACCCATACAGGTGAGGAGCACTGACTCGGGTGAAAATCAACTGTAATTAACATCTTTCAGTAAGCATTTCATGGCGGCTGTTTATGGAGATGGCGGCCGATAAAATAAACGTTGAACTAGCTTATTTTATCCTGAATCTTACAAAACATGACGAAGGTAAGTAGTTATCATTTATCGAATTCATTTACTATGCCAGGCACATAAAATGAAATGAGTGAAACTCGCCAGGCAGTTCGGGGCCCAAACACCGCTCCCAACAGAGCCCACTCTTCTGTAAGGCATGGTTAACATCGCAATGCTGCAGTTTTGCCATGCCACCTGTTCTTCTATCAGTATATGAATTGCAATTATTCATGGAGATCCGGTTTGAGCAGTGCTTTGAGGCCTCATGTTAGTGGTGCATTCTCGTGTAACTTGACCGGGGATCCGTCGCAGAAAAGGGGCGACCAGCTAATCTGTGGAATGGCCGCAGCTGTGTGTATGCGTTGGGCTTCACACGAATGTGATGGCTTCCCGTAGACTTTACGGGTTCCCCCTAGAGCAGCGCAGCTGCCCGCTTGGAGTCGAAAAGCATCACCTCTTTTCGACGCTGCCATGACGGCTCCCTAAGCCGTCGTATTGGTCTAATTGTAAAACATGCGGTAAAACACTTCGAGGCTCGTTCAACGTCCTGCCCTCCTTAGGTCGGAGAGGTTCAAGTTAGGTCGAAGGAGAGATGTGATAGGTCAGTGATAGGAGATGTGATAGGAGACACGAACACGGCCGACATATTCACTGAACAAAGTCGAAATCTGCGCGAGAAGTACCGAATAAATTGGAACTATAATGCGTCCTTAATTGGGACTCAAGTTCAAAAATGGACGACACTTTCTAGGACTTCGGTAGAAAACAAACGTTTCTAAAAAGGTAGAGCAACATGCGGGAATACCTTTGGTTACCCAAGAAAAATACAAAGACAGGTTGCACATTTTGACTTTCGGGCAGCACCAAGCTGCATCATCTTTGTATTTGCTGCCTTGGGCTAAAAAGAAGAAGAAGAAGATATTGTACGTTTAACTCGCTGCTATTTCTTTATTTATAATCACTGTTATTTCTTCGTTTATGTAGATGAAACAATAGAGATCACCTATACGTCCCGTAAGTTGGCATTTAAACGACTATACTAGCAATGCTTTAGGTGTAAGAGATACGGCTGAGACCTATGATGAGATCAAGATTACTTTACTACTCGATGAGCTTATCATGCTCTTATGCGATAATGTACCAGATAAAAGTAATTCGTTTACTAGATAAATATCTAGACATATACATTAAATGCAGTCGCCAGTGTGATGCAGAGAAGCTGACACATTGTGCAACTCCCCTGTGCGCTGCACCCACCGCTCCTCATTGTGTCACCGCGTGTCACTTGGCGGCGCCGGCACAGTGTTTACGGGGCCGCTGGCCAGGCCGTGTCATCCGATATACCTGCGCCCGGACACAGAGCAGACGGGATGACCGTCTGGGTGGCCGCGCGGCGCCACCTAATGAGACCGCCTGAGGCCCCATTCAGCGACACCGAGCAGCAACACGGCGGGCTCGATGGTGACGACTGACGAGGCATTAACATGCTAATGCGGGTCTCATTGATCTGTAGCTTTAGCGGATATACGATAATGTCGCCGAATGTGATTCCGTGCATCACGTGAAAATAATGTCATCTAGTTATAATCTAGTGTAACATTCCATGACATCGGCATTGACATTGCACAGCGCTTCCAGGCCTCCAGTTGCTATTTAAACATCTTAAATCATCCGTTTTAGATATATGACAGCAGGCAAGTGGGACCACCACATTGTAGTCATAACAAATGATCTATGGTCTTTAATGCGCCTTGCTATGAGCGGAAGTGGTAACATGAAATGTAATATCATTTGCATGCATCACTAAACGTTCTTGTTTAGTGATGTGACTGCTCTGACCTCTGTCACCGCTAAACTGCATTGTAGCGTGTATCTAACTATGTACAGGTCTCGGGGGTTTTAGCGGTAGGTTTTGCACCTAGAAAATTTTGTGTACTTCAGGCTATAGGTATCCTCGTCGTCTTAAGCTTTTAAGTCTTGAAGATGCGATCGACTTGTTGGTTCACAAGCCGGCCATGATCGTGTAAAATGGCTTCATCGTAGATCGATTAGTTTCTGAGATATAAACGGAAATGTTAAAGTGCAAAACCTACCGCTTTATCTCGCGAGAGCCGTAGGGGAGAGTGGGGCACATTCGTGCAAAAAATGGATAAACCCATATATCTGTTCTTTGGTTAGTGCAATGGCAAAATTGTTGATTGTAGTATGGAAAGGAACTATTGCAGATAGTTTTCCTCTTTAAAAGTTATCCTATAAAATTATTGCTTCCATTAGAAAAAATGACATTTATTAACTCTGAACATTTGCACGAAACTGCCCCACCTATGGGGCACATTCGTTCAAGAGATGGGGCACTTCCGTTCACCCGGCAAAATTCGAGAAATTACCGGGCATTACCAGAAATTTACCAAAGGAAATTGGCAGGTGGTCATTTCACTTGATTCCTTTCGACAAGAATGCATTGCACAACAAATGTAGAAAGAATGGGCTGGCCAACAAGAATGTGCCAACTGCCGGCCTCCCTGACCTCGCCAAGTTCGCGTGAATTGCTCGTCACGACGTCGCAAGCAGTCGAGACTGAGTCAGGCGAGCGTCATTAGAGAAACCTACTACAGATAAAGTCATAAATCGCAAAAACTAAAAAAAAAATATGCACGAATGTGCCCCCAGGCAGTGCGTACACGAACCTGCCCCACAACGTTATTAGTAATATATTTCAAAATTTCTTTTTGAAAAAATGACACTTTTTCAACAAACAAGTTTGCAGCAGTTCCGTGAATAGAGTGGGCTTCTTCACCCCCAATTTTGAAAAGCTGAACCACATTTCCGAGTCAGGATCACGAAAATGGATGATATGAGAAAAGTTTGGAAAGCTCACGAATATTACAAATTTGCGTTTTTATCAAGCATGACAGCAGGTACAGTGTTGTCTTCTACGGTGAACGAAGGGCGGCAATGATAGACATATTTCCATAATTTACCTTGAGCTCGTGCAGTCACTCGTGTTCCCATAAACTGCTGAAAACGAATGTGCCCCATGCACGAATGTGCCCCACTCTCCCCTACATACCTACTTCTATGAGTATCTATGTGACCTTTCCCAGTGTAAATAGCCATTTGAGTCTTCGAAATCCAGACCTATATGTGTAGTTATTTCACGATGAAACGTCCAGTTTTTTACGCTCTTCCGGTATAAGGAGACGATTTCACAGCCGGAAGGATGATGGGAATAAGGGGGAGACATTGGTCTGGGCGGGCACCCTGGTGACCCGTCGGGGCTCAGCCCTTCACGTGGACAGGCCAACAGCCACTGCACCCGGCTACGAGCCTGCTCCTGGGTGGAGCTACCCGCATGGGATAAAGGTGAACGTCCAGCCCAGATCTTAGGGTTGAGGTGTGGAGGAGAAGGACTTTTGAGCATCCTGAGGATGGGAACGTCGGAACGGACGTCAAGTGATGCAATTAACGTTGGCCTTGAATACAGAAAATGGAAGAAACGAGCTACGTACCAGCAAAACAAAAAAGCCTCGAAATGATTTTCACGCTTTCTTATCACGCTCCTATCCCTAAATCATACGGATCACCTAAAGGCGCGGGAACCGGGGGGCAGGTTGCCCCTCACCTCTGGGGCCGTGGGGGTGGTGCCCCCACATTTTTGAGACGGAATACCGCACTTTTTTGTATGTAGGTACCTAAATGTTTTCTTTTTTTGTTGACAAAGGCAAAGCCAAGGGATGAAAAATAAGCATGGCCTAAAGCCCGTGAGAAAACTAGATTTGGGGGTACCCTAGGTTGATCTCTATCATGGTGTGCCCCCCCCCCCCAGTCTTGAAAGTAGCATCCGGGCCCCTGCCCTAAATCATCTGATTTCATCCCTAATCCTCGCCTATAGCCGTGCGGCGTGCCTACGTCCCTCGCACTCCATGCCGCGAGATATGCAGCCTTCAGCCTGAATTAGCTTCTGGCGTCAGTTGTGCTGCAGTGCACACAAACCGGAAATCACCAGTTTGCCGGAGAATCTGCCAATGGCAGGTCAGGGAAGGCGTGCGCCGGCGACTGGCCGCCACGTGCTCGACACATGCTGGGCGGCGCCCAATTAGTCTTGTCGTTGCGTCACAGCCGTCTGAGCGGTGGGTGTGGGGCGCGGTCTGTCAGATCCCGCCGCCAGTGGTGACTCGCCTGCCCAGCGCTCGCTGGCGGGCCTCCAAACGGCAGTGGGAGGAGACTGTGCGGTGCACGCTCCGTGCAGCGGTCCCGGGGGTTAATGGTCTTATTATGCTGCCGCTCCCGTTATCGCCGGACGACCGCGCCATTTAACCCCGCCTGGTATATGCCACCGTGGTGCCATCCTGTCGGCCAGGCTCTGGAATTACTTCAGATCTACAACTTCCAAAGCTGGAGTCTGAAGTAATGCGGCACGTGTTCATTGTCATCATGATTACGCCTGTATTATAATAGCATGTCAGTCGATATCAGACATAAGCCCATGAATAAAGTACCGCCCTGTCACCACCCAGTACGCGCTGTGGTGGGATGGTTATTAGTCAATCATGTACTGATGGCATGTCGGTGCCGACTTCCGGCAGGAACCTGCCTCGCGCCATCGGCATGGCCATGCCCATCGTGACGCTGGTATACGTGGCCGCCAACGTAGCCTACTTCTCCGTGGTCTCGCCGAAGGAAATGCTCGCCTCCCCAGCCGTGGCAGTGGTGAGTGTGTACATCTGAATCCACTCTCTGAAATACATGCTCCAAAAAATATGGCTCGAATAGTACTTGTCTGCTAAGTACCTACTGACAGTTCGGTTTGAGCCTGAGTCCCAGAAACTCAGTGGGAAGTAAACACCTCGAGATGACGTAGCAGGATAGTTATGCTCCGCAGGAACATGAAACGCAAACTTCAGATATTGCGTGGGCATAAACATTGTGTCGTGACCTCAAGCTACTTTTACCGTAAATATATTATTTGTTGCTAAAGCTAGCTTCACCAAACGGGGAAAATGAATCAGACTTGCATTTGACGCATTGAGGGCACAAATTAAATAATGAATTATCTAATTGCAGCATTTATGAGGGCATGTGTATTACCCTGTAGCTTCAGCCCTGCCCAAATAAAGTTGCAGTCTGCTGCGATGTCTGGGATCATGGCACTGTCCCGATTGTAACTTCCACTTTCCCCACCCTCAGTCGTTTGGCGACAAGACGTTCGGCGTGATGGCCTGGTGCGTGCCCGTCTTCGTGGCCCTCTCCACCTTCGGCAGCGTCAACGGCATCATCTTCACGTCGTCGAGGCTGTTCTTTGTGGGCGCCCAGGAGGGCCAGCTGCCCGCCCTGCTGTCGTTCGTGCACACGGAGCGCGGCACGCCCGTTCCGGCGCTGCTGACACTGGTGAGGGACCCCACACACGGCCTTGGAGAGGCCAAGTTGGTCGAAAGTCTCGCTGTTGATTCTTATATACTTCAGCCATGCATAACACATTGAATCATTTTAGTGCCGTTTTGTTAGCCAATATCCATGTTCGCCATGTTTGCCTAAAAGAAAAGAAGTTACTGCGTGAATCGTAAAGCAGGGTTACCTAATATTACATTTCATTTCATGTATTTTACATTTCACGGAACAATAATGCTTCAATAGCGTTACGTCCACGGTGTTGTTACCTCGCCGCCCGCCTGTGTCCTGACGCGGCGCGTCCCGCACCCGTTCTCAGTACGGCCTATCTCTGGTGATGGTGGCGCTCGGCGACAATGTATTCCAGCTCATCGACTACGTATCGTTTGTGCTGTGGTCGATGGTGGGCGGTGCCGTGGCCGGCCAGCTCTGGTGGAGGTGGGTGCGGTAGCGGTTCCCGGGAGAGCTCTTAGCTAGAGACCGGAAACACCCATTGGTGGCTGTTTACAAGTGCTGACAACTCGCATCAGCATCGCTATGTTTTGGGTGTATCAAGACTCTATTATTTCTTAACTCATTGGCACCATAATCTGTGATAAAATATAGGGTATTCTTTTCTTTGATGAACAGGGATGAAGCTGAAAGCATCTCGGATGAAGTGTTGCCATTTTCAGCTGCAACACTCTACATTCTTTCGTGGCTTTGAGACCGTTCAATGTGACAGGATAATTTTGCATTCAATCTTGAGATCCCGTTTTAATGCAGCGTTTTTCTACCCTCCCTGACAGATACAAGAAACCGGATCTTATTCGTCCGATCAAGTTCAACATCATCATCCCGATCGTGTTCTTCTGCGTCTGCGTGTTTCTGGTGGCAGTGCCGCTGATCGTTCAGCCATTCAACGCCGGTCAGTACCCACGCTGGGAACGCGTCATGTTGTGTGACAGGCCTTGAAGCATAACTTTCTTGTGATAACAAAATGATAAACTGAAATATTCACCAATAAATGGGTGTATAGGTAATGACCCGCCGGGATGCGCTATCAAACTCCAATAAACAAACAACAAAATTATCAATAATCATGGATGATAAAATACCAGTATAACGCCTTTTGGGGCGACTAACGGAGCGAGCGAGAGGGTGGGCCTTGCACGTGCGAAATTGCGAGGGGGTACCTCCAACTGACTTGTGCACGGCACCCTACTAACTGGTCTCTAGCGCTGTGTCAAATTTGGGCACAATCGGCCCAGCCGTTCTCGAGATCTGGAAGCGGTACCCTGCACGTGCGCACGTGCAAAATGGGTCCCAACTGACTTGTGCACGGCACCCTACTAACCGGTCCCTATCTATGTACCAAATTTGAGCGCAATCGGTCCAGCCGTTCCCGAGATCTGGAAACGACCCCTGCACGTGCGCACGTGCAGCAGCACCCCAACTCTGGCACATGGATATGCAGTGCCTAGTGGGTGCCTACCTACATGCCAACTTTCAGCGCAATCGGCCAAGTGGTTACCGAGATATTGCAACAATTACAAAAGTGACACCTCTTCGTTTTGCACGTGGCACGTGCATAAGGGGTCACCCACATGAATCGGGAATAGTCCAATACTTGGTAGAAGGAATGAAGCTACCCTACAAAAATTACCGCGTGTAAATCGGTCAAGTGGTTGCTGAGATATAAGCCTCGCAAAAGCGTGACCACGGCCGGCCGGCCGGCCGGCCGGCCGGCCGGCCGCTCATACTCAGAAATTTCCGTTAATCTAAGGAAAGACTACGCTCGCTTCGCTCGCTCCGTAATCATATTTAAAATTTAAAGCTTATCTTTCTATATGTTGCGCCAGGATGTCGAATTTCCTTTTCCATAAACGCTCCTTAACTTCATTTTCTGTCCAGCTCCGGGCTCAGAGGCCGGGCGTGGGTGTCGCGTAAACGTCTACGACGCAAGATATATTGCTGCATTTGATTTGTATATCAGCAATGAATTATTTCTACGCATTTACCTTCATCGTCGTTTATGCCGAATTTGAATGTTTGTAGTTTTGTAACGCTTAATGCCAGAAGTTTTAAAATAATAAATACCCATCCAAATTTGCCAGACTTCACTCTCAGCATGATGACCCTTTGTTTTCCGCTCATTGAGGCTGGCTGCTCATGCGATCAGTGACGTTTTCATGGCCTTTTTGCAGGAATGGGTGCGCTGATCGCCCTCTCTGGCATTCCCGTCTACCTGGTCGGTGTCAAGTGGACGAACAAGCCCAAGTGGCTCCTGCAAGCCGACCGTGAGTTCAGTAACAGCAACAACATTTCGAATCATAGTCCATTTTGACCGTGAATAACATTTAGGTACTTGCTATTTGATAGCATGGTGACGAAAATTTTGAAAACATTGGTCTGCCTCCCAGTAAGGCACCGTACAAAATAAATTGAGGCCTGCATTTTCATCCTGAAAGCATCATTTAAACCATATGACACGGCTTGTTGGAGACAACAAAATGCATAGACCGTTGCATCGAATGTTGCACCGTAATATACAGTAACAGAGGTGCAATTTTGCACGATTTACCAAAAAGCCGGTTCTTTCTCTTTCTCACGCAACAAAGTTGTGGCCCCGTTCCTCCATCTCCGACTTAGATGACCTACGGTGGGAGGCACTCATTCATGCCATGATTTGTGCCCACAGACCGGATAACGAAAGCCTTGCAAAAGCTGCTGATGGTCGCTCCGCAGCGTGAGGACAAGCCGGAGCCGCTGCTTCCCATGGACGAGAAGCCGGTGCCGACCTGAGTCAGCGTCTGAGCGCCGCGACGAAACCGACGCATCTGTCCGCATATCTCATACCGGCGATCGAATGGCCAAGGCGCACGACCACAACTTATTTCAGCGCAACGGTTCTATTAAAGCGTGGACGATCGCTATGTTTAGTGCCATTGGATGTGTTCAACCTGTGTTCAAATGGTCATCAGCGTGGTGCCAGTCTTCTGCTTAATGTGTTCATATCGTGAGCTGGTTCTAAGCAATCTATCTTACAACCTTAGGGAAGTCCCAGTTTTAGCGGCACCGACATAGGGTTTTGTCCTATTCGCATTTTACCATTTGCTTTCCGTGGGCTGTGACCTTCACCTAGAGGATCATGAATGCCTATTATCAGATTTTTTACTCCATGGAGCGCGCTGTTTTTTTACATAGAAAGCTTAAACTAGAAATACGTCGTCATCAACCAACAAACAGCACGATTTCCGCCTTGAACATATTCAAACCGAAGAGTTACTTTTCTAAACCCATGTTAAAATCATATTCAGCTCACTCAATTTTAAAATCTAGCACAAAATTGGTGTGCTCTGATTACGGTCACAACTTGAGCGATTTAAGACGTCTCACATACAGGCAACAACATGGGGGAACTTCTGGAAACGCTTGAATGTTTCTCATGCTTGAGTCATGTTCACGACATGACTCTGCAAAGGTCTGCAGAGTCATGTCGATGCAAAGGTCTGCAGCAGGTCAGAAAATTATTGCACTTTCCAAAAGTCAAGTAATTTTCTTCAGCCGTTTCTAAACAGTATTCTTGCGCACGAAAGTAATGCCACGTTCTTCTCATATGTGACGTGTCGACTTGAAGTATGGTGAATAATGCCTTTAATTGACCTTTAATTGACATCAATTCGAAAATATTTACTCGGTACAGAATTATGTTACTTTTTTCGCAGGCAATCAGTTGCCTGAATAGGTAGGCTGTGCCGCATGGCACGGGCCGAGTTCACAGTTCAATCCTGTGACCCAATGCTCACCATAGCCACACTTAATTGCGCGATGAACGGTGCAACTTAGCGTTTTATTCAACTGATACCTTCTGAGGAGTGGAACATCATTCTGTAAGTAACTATATTATATACAATGCTTAGTTTTTCTCGCAGCAAACTCGTGACAAGGCTGATTTCTGCTTTCAAATCTTTGTTTCTTTTTTAGGAATCTTGAAAATGGAATATGCTATTTGTATAAGATATGTAATGCGAAAACTAACAGAAAGATCCAAATTCATTTGCGTATTGGGTCCCCTGGCCCGATGGGTGTCGTTGCTGTTTCGCTCCCCCGTGGAATTTGATTGAGAAGTATCTATCGGGTGTGCAGCTGGCGCTACTGGCGCCGGATCGCCCATCCGTGCGACTCAGTGCAGAACACTCACCGTGTCCTGATAGTCAGCCTTGCAACGGGAGCGTATTAACCTTAGATGTGCTTGTATGTATATACGCTGCTGACACTAGCCTATACAGGGACTTGTAAGAGGACCCGGTTTCCATAACAAAGTGGAAAACTCGTGAGGCTTACGGACCTCTGCATGACATCTATGTCATATTCTGCACCCAAGGGACCAATCGAAGCCTCGTGGCTGCCTTCCCATGCTATAGCTGTCATGTGCTGCGTCATCAGTCGAGCCCCGTTTGTTCGGGCTGGACTGGACGTGGCCGTTTCATATAGCCCGGGGTGGGCGCCACCTACTGCCGAATTTCGGCAACGGTTGGACTGTGTCCACCAAGATCTATGTATCGGTCGCAGAACGTCTGCGCTGACCCCGGTGTGCAAAGTCACCTTAAAGGGACATGTTCATCTTGACAAAGTGAAGGTACTGAGTGCTAGTGCTGAAACACAGATATAATATATGGAAATTGCTAATCCAGCTACATTAACTGCTCAGTCGACATGGCTGTCGAAATAATATGTAGGTATGCTGCAAACAACGCACTAAAATTCCTGTATGGGCGCTGACTTTATATCAGCATAGACAAATACGTGGTTTACGAGTGGCTTGCGTCTCATTTGACTGATTTACAAGCTTTGTTTTATTTATTACTGGCATGTGAAAAAATGTACTTTTTTATTAAGATGCTTTCTAATAAAGGGAATCCCATCACGGCCGCTGCAAGAAATAATTGGCTGAACTGCAGCGGCTGCATAACATCTTTTTTACTTAACGATGATTTTATCATTTATGTGGTTCGTTGATGTGCATCCCGCCTTCAATTCGAACTTCAAACAGTTCTAATGATGATGATCTTGCCTCCTGCCCAAATTATTTTTGCTATTAAAGGGACCCTCCCACCTTAACATTAGATTTGAGTTGAGATAGCCAAAATGGGGTCCCTGGCTCACAATTACCGGTTTCGGCACTCACAACATCAAGAAATGCCTTAAATCGGAAATATTGAATTTCAAAATTGCAGCATTTTGATTCAGAGGGGCTAATGCATAGGTATACCCCTCTGAATGTGTGACGTCAGCGCAGATATCTAACGATTTTTAAATGTTTGACTAAAACGTTTTGTAGCACGCGGTGGTATATGCTGCTTTGCGCGCAACAAATGCCGCACTTTCAAATAAAGTCGCTATAGGAACAGCGGAGATCCCAAAAAGTAAACAAAAGTAAAAGTCTAATATCTTGAAAACCGGTGAATATTTTTCGATGAAATTTGGTAGATATTCGTTTTTGCTCTTTCTGAACCGAGCGACATCACTTTCATGCCAATTCATTTACTTTTTTGAAGGTGGGAGGGTCCCTTTAAGCTTTTTCCGGACATGTTCAGAAGCATGCTCACATCTTGCAGTGAGAGTAATAGCTAACTGGCAGCCCTAATCGCTATCCGACAATGTTCAGACGAGTGACTTCGAATCATGGGGCGCGGATCAGCCTGATCGGTCCGAGGGGATCAAATATCCAATGTCAACTCCATTTCTCCATGTTGAAGGTGAACATGTCCTTTTAAGCCCCTAGCGCCCCAGATGTCAGTGTAGCGCCAGTCTATGTGTAACGTCCTTTATGTATGGGTGCATGGTTGCCTGCAGTTGAGGGAAACTTCTGTTTGGTGACCAGACGAAGAGGCCTGTTACGCCCAGTGAAGGAAACAGAGTAAGCATATGGAGCCAAAATTTGCAACACAAATGCAGCTCCTATTATTTGAAACATGAATTATTTTCCTTTTAAGAATATACAATTCAGAGATGCACAGATAGGATTTAGTTTGTGGAACCTGTCCACTTCATAAAATCGTCAACTGATTACTTTGGAGTTTGGTGAGCTGATTGTTGCGAACTTTTATCCGGTGTAATTAGGAGCGGGGTATGCTTTCTATTGGCATTTATGTACTATACGCCTTATGTGAGGATTTCTTTAACTAATGAGAAAAAAACATTAGAAGAAACTTTAGAATATGGGTGTTCTCAACAGAATAATCAACATTTTCGGCTCCTATTTTGTCACAAAATATAATGTTGGTATGGTCTTCTGGCCTGTAGGGCTTTAGTTTAAAGTTTTATGATGTGTTTATTTTTGCCGGTTCCGTTTTGTGGCTGAAGGGGTGCAGCATAAGTGGTCTTGTGCTTGTCCGTGCGTGTGGTCTCACATCAGTATAGGTATTATACTATGAGCGCTATTTTGAGCCGCGTCGGCGGATTTGGTTGGTGTTCGAGCCTCTTGTGTCTCCTGCTTCATTGTTTTATTAGATTGCTGTTATTGTAAATACTTAAGCTTCCACTGTCGATTTACCTATGCGAGTTGATGTTACGTTTCCGGATATATTTTTTTTTGCGTATGCCTCGCAACCATAGATGTCTTAACCATTAATTGTTCATTCAACACGCTTAATGTTCCGACATCGCATTAAAGTTAAATCAGTTTTTATGTTCAGCGCTCGTAAATAAAGCAGCAATGTAAAATAAAGGAACAATGGTGTTATGAATTCGATTGGGTTTCCTATCGCATTCGCGGTCCAACACAACACTCGTTGACGGCTGAAGATGTGCTCGCTGCTGCCAGGAAGAGGGCGGTCAGTTCCTGCCCCCGGAACCACTCGTAGAATAACTGCCCGGGTTCGGACGTGGCCGCCGGCCCAGCACGGTCACATGTGGCCGACACATGTCCCTGGGCGGCTGCGGCTGAGCACCGGCTGGCCGGAAGGGATGGCACAAACGGTGGATAAACAAAACACGCGTCTGAACTCAGTCGGACAGAACATCCATCCTGACGAAAATCACATCAGAAGTTAAAGAATCACAGCACAGCTCAGCCAACATTTCTAAGCAAGGGAGAAATTCGTCACAAATTTATACGGAACGAGCGGTTTTCTTTGAGAATATTTTTTTGAGGGGGGGGGGGGGGGTCTGTTCAGGCTCTTTCGGCCTGAACAGACCATCGCAGAGCTACATGGCATATTAGGATATCCCATGTAGGGATATCAGGGGCATTGGGCTGTGCGGGAAACCGACAGTGATCCCGGGGGCGAGACCGTCCCAGTGCAGTGGGACCGGATTGCCCCGTTGGGACAGTCCGCCCGCCTCCCAAACGGTCATCCCGGAGAGGATTATAACCCGCGCCCCACTGGGGGGGGCTATTTATAGCCCCCCTCCCGTTTTTCTGCAATAACTTCCAAACCGCTTGACGGATCGACGCCAAACTTTCAGTACCTTCGGCTGCATCAATTTGACACCTTGTGTCAAAATTTGAACTTCGTAGCTACCATAGGTCGGCCGGAAATGACGTCAGAGTGACGTCATGTTCGTCCGATTTCGACGCAAAACATTGAACCACGGCAATCGCTCCCAAGAGCTCAGTTTTTAAGCCAGATCCAATTTCTTTGCATGAAAGGACTCAGAATTGACCGCGCTATCAAACTGCTATCTCGGATTTTCAAAATTTTGAAAATTTTGAAAATCGTATATAATAATATTCAAAATTTATATTTTTACATTTTTTTCAAAAAGTTTTTGACTTTTCGAAAAAAACCGGAATATATGTGACAGAACGCATGAATATGACTAACTCTAGCAAGTTTTAGCTAAATATCTTCAAAAATGGCCAAGTTATACGCATTATTGCAAAAAATTCACAATTATTAATTTTTCAAATCAATTTTTCAGTACGTATTTGACATCGTAGACCAATATAAATGGCACCATCGTGTTCCTGAGCTCAAACTGCATCCAATAGACACCTTTTTTGTTGAAAAATTTTAACTTCAAAATTTGACCTTTTTTGACCTGAAAGTGACCTGACCTAAGCTAAATTCGACTCAAAATGACCTCGAATGACACAGACGACATCAAATTCGAAATATATGGCCTAAATGGACCATAAAACATGTGTCACGTGACCGACGCATGATATAATATTTTCGTGACCTGTGATGACCTGACCCTGACCTGAAAATCAAAGTACAAGTTTGGTACCCTCAAGGTATCTAGAGCATCTGTTCACGAGTGTGGAAACCAAAAATGAGCCTGATCTGACTTGTAAGACGGCGGCCAGAGCCCAAAATATGAACAAGCCAAAGTGCTAATAATTTTTACTTTGACCTGACCTGTGACGTCATCGGTGACCTCGAGGTCAATGAAATTAGGTTTCGCTCGACAGTTTTTCCGGGGCTATCAGACGCCGTTTGAATTTTGACGATCGGCCCAGTAGTTTCGGAGTTAGGAGGGGGGGGCTATGAATAGCCCCCCCCCCCCAGTAGGGCGTGTTATACACAGACCCCAGTGGGGCGCGGGATAACGGGTTCTGGTGTGGGCCCAACCTCATCCACCGGTTGCTGGGAGAGCCCGGAAAGGGGGATGCGGATGAGTTGTCTTGAGGATGACGTGGACGGATGAAAGAATGAAAGTACAATAGGATCGCCGGGATCATTCGGTGTTTTTGGCTGACACCGTGCACAACGGACATGACAACTATTTAGTAGAAGAGCCATAAGTGAATCAAAAGCAATATAAAATGTGACTAATTTAATCAATGGTCCCTGCAATACCAAATATTTACCGGTGATCCAGGATAATCATCCCTCATTTTCCGGATGCCGAAACACACAAAAAATAATTACACTCTTCGGTTCTTCGGAGCCAAGTACTCCCGTTAAGATGCTTCATTATCTCACTCTTGCGCGCGTCACGTGTTGACCTACACTCGAACACTCTTAACCCTCGCCGGACCTATTTATTGGTTTTCTACATACGCGCCGGCCGAGGGGGGGGGGCGGGTACGACCCCCCCTCGCCGTTTCGCCCCTGGTGCAGCTAGCGCGTCGCGGAAAAAACGAGCGTGTGCGCCGTTACGAAACGCAGAGATTGGGACACGATTTTAAGGTCCTAGGTCAACTGGTGACCTCTGAGGTCAGATCAAGTGCCCCAAGGTACGGTTCAGTTTTTGGTGAATAACTTCGCAAAAAACGGCCGCAGAGCCGCGATTTTGGCAGCATCGTGTTTACCTTGCTCAGGCGCGTCGAATGATATACTTTTTGTCCGGGTCAGGTCAACTTGGGGTGTTGACCTCAGGTCAAGGTCAGGTCAGCACCCCCAGGTCACGAAGTTGGTCGAAAGAGGTCATGTCGCATATCATTCGATTCGGCAGGTCTTCCTGAGTCCATTGGTGGCTTTTCCGACTCGCTAGCTCAATTTGATCAAGAGTTATTGACGAAAAACTAATATGACCTTGATGACGTCATAAATGACGTCACGCAAGGTCAACATTGCAAAAGTGACGCATCTAACCTTGCAAGGAGTGCATCAAATCACGATTCTGTGTGCTTGAGATAGTTGGAGATCGTTCCCGGCGCCAGAATAGCAGTTTTCATTTTTCCCCATTGACTTATAATGGTGAGGTCACGAAAATGACCTGACCTCATATGACCTTTAGGAAAAATCCGAGACATACAAGTTGTGAGACTCATAATGGATACTAGATCCTGCAAGTTTCATTTCCCTGTGACATCTCCTCTGGCAGTGAGGGCGTTGCGAAGTTGCGACATCTGAACACCGTGCAGAGGTTCACTTATGACGCCATAGGTCAGTGACCTGACCTGACCCAAAAATGCGGTTGGTGTCAAAAGATCCAGCTTGAATCAAAGGTCAGGTATGCCAAGTTTCAGCTCTCTATCACCAGCGTGTTCGGAGCTATCGCGAAAAAAACCCTATGGAGGGGGCGGCACCCGCCTCCCCCCCTCGGCCGGCGAGGGTTAAAGGGACCCTCCCACCTTCAAAAAAGTTTATGAATTGGCATGAAAGTGATGTCGCTCGGTTCAGAAAGAGCGAAAACGAATATCTACCAAATTTCACCGAAAAATATTCACCGGTTTTCAAGATATTAGACTTACTTTTGTTTACTTTTTTGGGATCTCCGCTGTTTCTAGCGACTTTATATTAGAAGTGCGGCGTTTGCGGCAGATGTTGCGCGCAAATAGCATATACCACCGCGTGCTACAAAACGTTTTAGTCAAACATTAAAAAATCGTTAGATATCTGCGCTGACGTCACACATTCAGAGGGGTATTCCTAAGCATTAGCCCCTCTGAATCAAAATGCTGCAATTTTGAAATTCAATATTTCCGATTTAACCTTCCAGGCGGTGGGGGGGGGGGCATTTTTTTGCCCCCCCCCCCCTTTAGTTTTTTCGATATATCTCGAGAACCGCTGCGCCGATCGTCACCAAACTTTCAGTACCCTCCCGGGAGCAGCTAGCGCACATGGTGACCAAAAATTTTTCCAAAGGCTATGATAGGTTGGCCGCTAATGACGTCAGAGTGACGTCATTTTTGCCATTTTCGACCCAAAAAAAGGTTTCGCGGGAAGAGCTGTCAGGCCTACAGCTTTAGAGATACAGAAAAATGTTACAGACATAAAAGGTGTGGAATTAAAAGGGCTACAAAACTGCTATTTCGGTTTTTCGAATTTTTTGGATTTTGACCCCCAAAAGTCAAAAAATAGATTTTATAAATATAATAGCCAAAAAATCCAAAAAGTTTTTTGAATTTCGGAAAAACCGGAATATATGTGATAGTCCCTACCGCCTTCTATCTACATACCAAATTTGAGATCGATACCTCTTTTTTTGGCCAAGTTATAGCGAAAAAACTGTTCAAAATTGATGACGTCAAATTTTCAAACTCTATTTTTGGCAATTCTAGACCTCGTAGCGCAAAACAAAGACCACCATCAGACTCCCCGTGACGAGCTGCATCGAATCGATACCCATTTTATGCAAAAATATCAACTTTAAAATTTGACCTTTTTTGACCTGACCTTGACCTGACTTTCACCAGAAAGTGACCTAAACCGTACCTGATGGTCTTATAACCAACACCATTGAGTTGGAAATGAAAAACTGGCCATAAAACATGCATCGCATAACCTTAGTAAAGCTGGGCTCATTTGGTGACCCTTGGTGACCTTTGATGACCTGACCTGTGACCTGATCTGGTATGACCAGTGACCTCTAATAGCAACATATGTACTAGACAACTGACGCCTTATCGCTGATTTTCGACAAAATGCGTTTTACTCGGTGTTATAGCACTTTCCCTAGAAGCCACGTGAACGGTGAAACATTTTATCTTTGACCTGACCTGTGACGTCATCGGTGACCCCGAGGTCAATGAAATTTGGTTTCCTTCGACAAATTTGACAGAGCTATCGAACGCCGTTTGAATTTTCCGGATCCATCCAGTAGTTTCGGAGATAGGGGGGGGGCAAAAAAGTGCCCCCCCCCCCACCGCGCGGAAGGTGGCTGGTAGGCCCACCGCCTGCCGGGTTAAGGCATTTCTCGATGTTGTGAGTGCCGAAACCGGTAATTGTGAGCCAGGGACCCCATTTTGGCTATCTCAACTCAAATCTAATGTTAAGGTGGGAGGGTCCCTTTATGGAGTGTGGATGGAGCTGAAGAGCTCATAGACACCTACTGCCACTACGACACTCATAATACCGTTATGAGAGTCGCGTGACACCCAATATTAGTGTCATTTTTGCACAAGCTTATCGGCGTGTTTTTCTTGTGCAAAAAAAGACACTAATATTGGGTGTCACACGACTCTCATAACGGTATTATGAGTGTCGTAGTGGGTGTTCTATGAGCTCTTCAGCTTCATCCATACTCTTTAAGAGTGTGTCGAGTGTAGGTCAACACGTGACACGCGCAAGAGTGATTTAACCCGCGCCCTGCTGGGGGGGGGGGGGTGTTTGAACACCCCTTGTGGTTTTTCGCAAATATCTCAAAGTGCCGCCGTTTTTGGTACACCTTATCATACATCAATTCTACACATGTGAAACTTTCACACCAAGGTCATTCAAGGTCAGGTCACCAGGTCACTTGAAGTGACCTCACCTCATAAAAAGTTTCAATGTCTGTCATAGCTACACCGAGTGACTGATCGCTTTGAAACTTTCAGCGATTGCTAAGGTCAGGTCAATTTTGCGACCTCCCCATTTTAAGTCATTGGGAGAAAATTGAAATGCGCCTCTTTTGGACGAAAGATAATATAAACACTCTTAAACACTGAATTACAAGTGGTTTAGACACACTGAACATGAAAATGGTGGCCGTTACCCCTGTTTATGCCCTGAGGTCATCTTAGGTCACGAATAGTATCTAACAGTTTTTCGCAAATAACTTTTGACAGAGGCATGCTAGAGCAATGAAAACGCCTTAGATGTGTTCAGCTCGACGATACGGATCGACTGATATGCAACTTGACCCTTTCCGGTCAGGTCATGACCTTGACCTGAGGTCAAATTTTCAAGCTGACCTTTCAAGGTCAAGTTATAGTTCATTCGATGCGTCTTGACAAGAGAAACACGATGCCGGTAAAAGTAAGCTCGTACAAGGCTTGGGTCAAAAGTTATTGCAGAAAAACTGTTTCCGAAAAAATCGGCTATTTTTGCAGTTTTTGCTCCCTGCAGGCAAAACCGTTGACGTTAGGTCAAATCTGAGATAATTAATCAGAAAGGGCGTTAATAGGGCTATCGAATGCGCTTTCCCGCGACGCTGTAGCTCTATTGGTTCCCGATTTATGCGTTGGCTTCTTGGAAATTGTCGACATTCGACCTGGAAATCGGCGAAATTTTGCCTTCAATGACCTCTGGTGACCTGACCTTTGACCTGACCAAAAAATTGACCGAAGTGATTTCGTCATTATTTTTGACGCTCTTTCGAACGCCGCATTCCGCGTATCGCTACGTGGCCCAGGAGCCGAGTTAGAACGGGGGGGGGGGGTGTTCAAACACCCTCCCAGCAGGGCGTGGAAATCCAGGACACCCAGCCGGGCGTGGGTTAAGGAAGCATCTTTATGGGAGTACTTGGCTCCGAAGAACCGAAGAGTGTAATTATTTTTTTTTTGTGTGTGAAGGCAAAGCTACCCTGTACCCAGAAAAAGAAGTTCAAAAAAATGATAAAGGTAAATTGCCCTTTTGCCCCCAGTTGGAATATCCGGCTAGCTCCCCTTTTGACGCGCAGTTCCAAGCAGCATCCACGTCGAACAATCCAAGTCAGTCTTGAAAATTCGCGGGCAATCTGTCCTCGCCAATCACCAAAACATCCCGGGGCGATGCTGCGAGGGTGCTACCTCGAGTGTGTCGGTCGCTGGCTAGATGTCTCCACTTGCGTGCTCGGTGGCCGGCCGCCGGCGCTGCGGCCGCCCGGGCCCGCTGGGCGGCGCGGGGCGGCAGTCAGCGCGGCCGGCCGCCGGGTGTCGTCAGTGCGTTATTCTGTGCCCGCTCCCCGCCCCGGGCTGCTCCAAGCCGTGGCCGTAACCCGACACCTTCCCACGTCGCGTCGCATCTTATCATGGGCCGGTTGAACTCTGAGACCCGTGCCGAAATGTCCCCCATGATGGGTGCCAAGGACAGCGTCACGATGAAGAAGGACCTGGGTGTGATGAACGGTGTCGCCATCATCGTCGGCATCATCATCGGCTCCGGCATTTTCGTGTCGCCCAAGGGTGTGCTGGTGTACTCGGGCTCCATCGGCCTGTCGCTGATCATCTGGGCGCTGTGCGGCCTGCTCTCGATGGTCGGCGCACTCTGCTACGCCGAGCTCGGTAAGTGGCACCGCGCGAGCGCGCGCATTACTCGCGCCGCCGACCGCGCCACGCGGGGCGCCCCAGCTGTGCTCTAGCGCTGCGCAGCGTCCCACCGGAGCGGCGGCCGGCCCGTCACAGAGCCGCCCAGCGCGCCCGGCCCGCCGGCCAGCCAGCCATTGGCAGGAAATGAGGGCCTCAGGATGAACCACTTGCAATGAACGGCCGGCCGCTCCATGAGAGACGGCGGTACGCCCGGACCCGGCCCCGGCACGTGGCGGTACGCCCGGACCCGGTCCTACGTCCGGACCCGGTCCGGCCCCGGCACGTGGCGGTACGGCCGGCCCCGGCCCCGGCACGTGTCAGTACGGCCGGTCGCGACCCGGCACGTGGCAGTACGGGTGGACCCGGCCCCTGCACGTGGCGCTACGGGTGGACCCGGCCCCGGCACGTGACAGTACGCCCGGGCCCGGACACGGTCCCAGCACGTGCCAGTATGGCGGGACCCGACCCTAGCACTGTCGGTACGCCGGACCCGGACAAGGCACGTGCTGGTACGGCCGGAGTGGGCCCCGGCACGTGGCCGTATGCCCAGACCTGGCCAGTGGCCACGGCAAGTCGTGGTATGCGGCTTTCGTGAGCCCCGCGGCACGTAGCAGTTAGAATAAAACCCAGTCGATTTTCCCGCAGAAAGCAAGACTAGAATTGTTTTCACCTAGTTGGCAAATAATTTCGACAGGGATCGTCCCAAAGCAAGGATCTTGGAATCATCTCTTTCTTCATACCAATCTCGAAAAATGCTTTATTTTGGTCCTGGGAAGTATCTTGACCTGAGATCAAGGTCGGGTCAAATAATACCTACCCGGCGGTCAGGCCAGGGAACATGCCAAGAAGGAAGTAAAACCGCGTGCCATTCGTTTTGCCACTGGTATACATACTTACAAAAGAAAAAGTAATGATCATATTATTAAGTGACCGCGATACAATCAGCTTAGGCCCTAGGGTCAAAAACGCAGAATAAGCATTGGACCAGCTAAGTGGCGTATGAGAATGAGAAATGTCAGTTGTTACCTAGCATTGGGTATTTCAATCATGGCGCTAAAACCGAATTTTGCGTATTTTCCCCTTGTCAGCTATTGGGGAGTTTTTATGATTGCCCTGGACCAGACCCAATGCCATCTGTGGGAAAAAAAACTATAAACACGGTAGATAGTTGTACGAATTCGGGGGCTTGATTCTTTCATTCAGGAGCTTGATTCTTTCTGTAAGACCAGAGATTGATGTTCTTACCAAGTTCTTACGAAAGAATATCTGGAAATGAGAGTTAAACAATCACGAGTAGGTATAATGCGTTTCGAGCAGTTGTGGAAAACCGACAGTGGGGGCACCGATCTCGGCCGGGGAGGGTCAAATATGTATATGACTTTTTGTTTTAAATAGGGGAAAATACAAGGAAAAAAAAGAATGACCAATAACATGGCAGTGAATGTGAATATATATCGGTAATAATAATATAGGTAATATGTATTTATACAGTCATCATGATAAAAGTACCTATCATCCTCCTAATGAAAATAAGTGGAATTTGTATACACTTCAACATTTGTTTTTGAATTTCAGGAGTACATTGTGAATGGCATATCGTAAATCGCTGAGAATCTTATCATTTATGATGCTTTTAGATATAGGCCCTGACATGAATATCCCCATCTGGATTCAATGTGTTCTTTCCGTGTTTCCTGTTTGACGGGGATCTGTCAGTTTCGGCGACTTCTGATGTAAACAATTCATCGCATGTGATCAGCACCAGGCACCAATTGTTGGGGACGGGGATGTCAACGGTTCCTATAGCGCTCAGATTTTAAACATTTGGACAAATAATTACTGCAAATCATGTCTAAATACCACGAAAGCGGAACAATGCCTACCAACGGGCGTGCGGTATGCAGTATGATGCGTACCTACTCGTTTGGTAGGCATTCATTGAGCGGCGCGCGCAAGGCGAGACTTGCCAAATTTGCGGTCCGCGCCAATTTTGTCGTGGATATTGTTACGAAGTTTAAAACGACATCCGTTTAAAAAGACATAAATTAAACTGAAAAGGTGTCTACAGTCCCTTACCAATAATGAACAATTTATCAATTAACCTTCGCCCCAGTGGGGGGGGGGCATATGTTACCACCCTGTCGCGTTTTTCGCGTGTAAATAAAAAAGCGCGGCGCGTAGCGCCGCGCCGCTTGGGGTAGCTTTTTGTACATCAATTTTGGACAATGTGTGAAATTTTTGACCCCAGGTCATGTCAGGTCAGGTCACCAGGTCAAGTTAACTGACCAAGCCTAAAAAAAAGTTTGCAATCATGTCCAGCCTGCAGTGTTTGTCAGAAAGGTTTCAAACTTGGTGGATTGCATGATGTTATAGGCGCCTACAATTTGTATATCTCGGATTTTTTATATACGTGACCTAAGGTCAGGTCAGTGGCGTGACCTTACCATTATAAGGCAATGGAGAAAAATGAAAATGCCTCTAGATCCGTGTGTACGCATAGGAACAGTCCAAATATTTCAGAATCACAATGATTTAGTCCACTCGTGATGACCAAGGTGTCATTTTTGCTGATAGCCTCTAGACAGGTCATCCGAGGTCACTTGAGGCTACAAACAGTTTTTTGCCAATAACTCGCGATTGGAAAGAGATAGAACGCTGGGGATGGTCTCATTGTGTTTGTCTTGTTGAGACGCATCGACTGATATGCAACATGACCTTTTCCGGTCAGGTCATGACCTTGACCTGAGGTCAAATTTTCAAGTTGACCTTTCAAGGTCAAATTATAGTTCATTCGACGCGTCTCGGCGAGGGGAACACGATTCTGGCAATAGAAATGCCGTGGCTTTTTGTAGTCAAAAGTTATTGTCGAAAAACACTTTTCGTAAAAACAGCTATTTTTGGAGTTTTTGCCCTCTGGAGGCTAAACTGTTGACCTGAGGTCAATATTGATAATAATCTTTTCAAAAGAAGAGCTCAAAAGCTATCGTTTGCTGTTCCATGCGTTTTTCTAGCTACCATAGTTCCTGAGATAGCGGCATGTTTTCTGAAAAATATAATGACAATTGGCAAATTTTGACCTTTGATGACCTCTGGTGACCCCAATATTGCTCTAAGGTGAAAAATGACTGAAATACTTTCAAACGTACGCATTGAGAGCTATCGACTGCTTTTTACCGCGTCTTTCTATCCCTCTTCGTTTTTGAGTTAGAGGTGGGTGGTAACATATGCCCCCCCACTAGGGCGAAGTTGGCTGAAACCGCCACTGGGGCGCGGGTTAATTGTTCAATTACCTAATTTAATTGACTCAGTTACCTAAGTTTGTTAGAAGACATATGGATGTTGATAGGATACCTATAGCTGTAACAATAGCTGAGGACAGGGACGACTTGACTTTTCAATTGTTTCGTCCCCTCAGCCTATGTGTCTGGTCATATCTCTCAGCTCCTGGTTCACTCGGTATAGGGGGCCCGAGGCTCCGTGCCGGGGCACGTGGGCCGCGGCTGGCCGGCGGCTATCGGCCGGTCGGCGCCGGCCGCGGCCATATGGCTGCTCGGGCCGGCCATGTGGCGCGCGCCGGGGGGCGGCTGCTTTTTGTCGAATAGCGCGGCTCGCGCCGCCGCCGGGTCCAGCGGCCACTGCAGTCTCTGTGATCGGCGCGGAGACAAGATGCTGGCCCCCCGGGCGGCCGCCCTCCGCCCTGCGCCGGCCCGGCGCTATACCATGTCCAAGATAAACCATGCTTCAGTGGTGCCGCCGTGTGTTACCATGCAGTGCAAGCCGTTATGCATAAATAGCAACTCGGCATTGGAATTTTGAAGCTGATGGCATTTCCTTGTCATTCTGCTCTATCTCTCCTACGTGCATTATTTATTGCCCAGGGAAAATTCATTCTGCATTAATGTCATTTTTTATTTACTCGGGAACGTTCCAGTGTTCATGTCAGTAGTCGAGCGTTCATATAGTTCATACTCATGCCCTGTTTGACGTGGGGGTTGGGGCAGCCAGCCGCCAGGACATATACGAATTACGGAAGTCTATACATAGACTGATGCGTTTGTTGTACAGAGTCCGGCATAAGTTTTCTCTTCTTAAAAATGTGCTCTCTAAGTACCTATAAGAGGCAGCGATCCTTTTTTTTAAATTCGAAAAAAACTTTTGCGATTTTTTGGCTATTAAAAAAAAAATACTTTTTTGATTTAAGAGGGTCAAAATCCAAACCTATCAGATCCTCTGAAAAAAATCTGGTTAGAATGTGTAAAATTGATGCGCGGAGGGGCCCTGAAAGTTTGGTGACGAGTTGACGACATCTGCAGCTGTTTAGGAGATAGATATCGACGGGAAAGGACAGGGGGGGGGGGCGTTTCGCCCCCACCCCCCACCCCCACCTTACGGGGCGCGGGTTAAGCCCGCAGGAGCCGTATAGTCAACTACAGAATGATGTTCCACTTTTCACAGACAATTATTTGCCTGGAGTGGTAGACTGTGCCACATCACACAGGTTGAGTTCACAAATTATAGCTTTGTCCCAATGCTCACAATTGACACGCCTTAATTGCGTGATAAACGGCAAAACTTGCGCTCCAGTCAACTGATAGCTTCGGAGTGGAACATCATTCGGTAGTCGACTATACTTCATGCTATTTTTTTATAGTTACGGCAATCATTCTTGATCCACATACCTAATGAAATGCATTTTTGGTTCATGTTGAAAATTGGTGCATTGGCATTACCATGTTCCATTTTGTCGGTGGTTCCACGAATGTCACGCAGAGTAGAGTGACTCTTGACATAGCTTGGTGACAAAAAAAAAAAAAACGCTGATGCAGCGTTCGAGGAGGGAGCCAACAGCGCCAGCAAGAAGCCTACTCGTACACCGGAGCGCTTCTGTCGGACATGTTTACCCCGGCTTATCACAGCTCTGTAATCATATGTTTCGCCCTTTGTTCAGTTTGTGCCGTTTTTAGGTTGACATATTCGGTAGATCTTTTTATACAAGCGCCACGCGCCTAAGACCAATATCCAATACAAACATTGTTTCCGGGAACTTTTTCATAAATTTAGCTCGAATATTTGAATGGGCGATTTGACAGCGGGAACCCACGCTACGCAGACTTTGTTACCTCCCTGGTCCCCTACAGTCCAATCGTGTGGTTATTCATACTTTCGGGAAGATTTGGAATTCGGATGCCGTGCAAAGCAGGACTCGGTCCGTCCCACCGACCGATCAACCGTTGTTCTATATACCCTGGATCGACCGGCCGTGACTGTTCCCACCACCCGGCGCCATTCCAGTCAGGAGTTTCGTATCGCCGGCAACTCGAATCCGGGCACTGACTACCGCGGGGGCCAACGCTCTATCAACTGGGCTACTGAACGGTCAAAAAGCCACGAGAATTCTGCTCTTTTGGGTGGTGCTATTCGCCAGGACGAGCCACGAGATTTTTATGCTCACTGGCTACACCGACAGATCGACCGCTTTATAGATTTCAGCAATGCCAACTATACGGAAAAGTAGGCGAACCCTGACCATCGTATTTTTTTTTTTTGTATAAAACATGTCTTTGTAAATAAAATGGCATCATTTGTTCCATTGTGAAACTTGTATAACATATATTGATTTGGTTGTAGAGAAAATTAGATGCAGTGGCACCATGCGCTCCTGGGTTCGGGATCTACAAAAAACTTTTCTCGATAACTACTCGTATGACCATTTTGTGGACAAAATAGCTCAGAAGATCAATGCGGGCCCGTTATTTGGCTTTTTAGCCGGTGTTGCCATTAGAATTTCTTTACTGGAAATGCCGGTTTCTCAGAGCGTGGTGTAGATCTGGCTGGGTTTAGGTAGGCTATAGCCACTGGCGGTTGCATTGCGGCACAGTCTACCTTCTGTAATAGACTGCCGCATACTGCAGCCCTTCTACAGTTTACCTATGCCCACAGAATCTCCGCAGATTAGCCGCCGGTTTCTGGTCAAGTGACCTTAAGGCGACGTCAGTAGATGGGAACGGGGCCGGGGGGGGGGGAGACGATGGGAAGACTGCAAGATGGGAGAGGGTTAAAATCGATTTGAATTTCATTGCCGCATGAAACATGCCTTGAAACCCACGACATTCGTAACAATACAAATATGGGTTTAATTTAGTCGTCTTCATCCTGAACTAAAGTAAAATTTAGCACAATCGGACGGTATATGGGTCTGTCCCTGGGCCTGCGTAACAAGCTCTGCTTGACATGGATCCCGTTACTCTGGGATCCCGTTCTACCTACTCGTTCATTCAACCATTCGATCTCACTTTAAAAGATATCGTTTCTTGAAAAAAGCAGTTAATTGACCCCAATACAGGTGTATCATGCAGTTTGACTCCGTCGCCTGCACAGCGCTCAGTTGGTGACAGCGGCGCGTCTCTGCCCACAGGCACCATGATCCCGCGGTCGGGCGGCGACTTCGCCTACATTCACGAATCGTTCGGGCCGCTGCCGGCGTTTCTGTTCCTGTGGGTGGCGCTGCTCATCATCATGCCGACCGGTAACGCCATCCAGGCGCTCACCTTCGCGTACTACATGCTGCAGCCCTTCTACAACACCTGTCACCCGCCGGACGACGTGGTCCGGCTGGTGGCCGCCATGGTTATTTGTGAGTACCGACCATCCAACCCCTTCAGAACACGCTCCGTTTTTTATGATTTTAGCACACGCGACTTTGTTGTTGCAATGATGGTGAGCACTAAATGATGCCTCCATTATTTATTGGCAGAAGTTGTCAAAAACTAGGAATGCAGATCGCTTACTGGCTATCAAATGAGATCATTGTAGGATGTCGGCTAGCTTAGAAAAGCGGCCGAGTTAGAAGGGGGGGGGGGTGCTCTGTGTTCCCAGCCAGATCTTAACCCCCCCCCCGCAGCAGGGCGTGGAAATCCAGAAACCCCCAGCGGGACGCGGGTTAAACAGAAGTGACGATAATAACGAATTTACAATAAAAAAGCAGAAAAACCAGGATTTCGCGACAAAAAACGTAAACACGGCGGAACAGCGGCAAAACGGCTGCGCACTGACCATCTGGGCTGCAGGAAACAGCGCAGCTAAAATAACAGCGCTGCAGAGCTGTAGGGCACCACAGCCTCATTCCGCGCCGTGGCAGGGTAGGGAGTCGGGTACGTTTTGTCGGCACCTTCGACCGGACGTAAAATTTCATGTAAATTTGCTGAAATTTTTAATGAATTTGCAGTTCCAGTTACCTTCTGACGATTACTTGCTATGTACCGCACCTACTTGACATACAACTAAAGAAGCATATAATCTTGGAATGCCCATCTCACTCCGTTTTACAATCTATACACTTGTCAACACGTTCATTTCAACACGAACAGATACTGGCGCTCGCACGCATTCCGTTCACTGTTTATATACCCCGGGGACCCAGAGGCGTTTGTGTATTTTTAAATGTTGAGTGGTGGCTTGGGTCTTATGTGTATGGGCCTCGTGTATGTTTGAGACTGTTATCGTCGTTATTGGTGGGGGTTATCAGTTCTGTTGCACCTCGGGGTGCTTGTATAGATTCCTTTGATTGTGGTCAGTTAACTCTCACACATATAGTGGATTGGTTGGACCCCTCGGTTTTTTCGCGAGTAACTCTTGAAATAAGCGTCCGATCGCAACAGAACTTTCAGTACCCTCGAGTGATTCAATTTTACACAAATACCTGACCTACCTATCCTAACCATATGTAGGTTTGTGTAAGTACCTACCCTTAACATTTTATGAACTTGACCCAAATGACCTTTGACTTGTTTCCGGAGCCCCGAGACCATATCAGGCCGGAATCACGATTCGGCATATTATCGGCGCAATTATACGTGCGTTTCCAGGCCTTTACATCTTCATTTCGAAGGCTAGGAGCAGTGGGTATTTATCAGGTTGAAAATAAGAAATGTACTCTAAATGGCATGCACTAATGCTTTGTTAGCTATGCCCTTGTACAGTCGGTTACAACTTGATCGATAGACACTCTTTATCCGCCGGTAATCTATGCCTCAGCACTGGCAGTAGCAGCCCCCTGGTACTGGTAGACTGTGCCGCTTGGCTTGGTGTTCAACGGCACAGCCTATCCACGCCGTATGACACCGGCCCGGGTCGCCGGAGGAGGTCTTCATTCCAAGAAGTGTTGTTAGATTTGAATGTTGTTAGATTTAGTTAGACTCCCGAGCTGGGAGGGAGGTGGGGGGGGGGGGGGGGCAGTCAAATACATTTTTAGTCACCCGGACGAAAAGTCGGAGGGCCTCAGCCCCCACGAAGCCCTTGGCTCCCACGCCTTTGATATAGTTCCTTTCGATCAACTTGTAACCGACTGTAACAAGCAGACATGTGCATGAATCCGAGAAAATGGAGCTGGGATCTGATCCCACGGATCCTGGGCCCAATCTTACCAAATACCGTGAATGCGCATTCACGGCATTTGGTAACATTCAGAGCTATTCCACATTTACTTTTTCATTCGTTCAGGCAACATTAATAATCATTAACACTACCAAAATCACTGGACAAGATTAGCTGGATGTAAATAAAAAGGATATCTTTGATATCAGTGCCGTAAACTCCGGCCAGTGCTGCCAAATCCTATTCACGGCATTGGTAAGATTGGGCCCTGATCCTGGGCCCAATCTTACCAATGCCGTGAATAGGATTTGGCAGCACTGGCCGGAATTTACGGCACTGATATCAAAGATGTCCTTTTTATTTACCTCCAGGTAATCTTGTCCAATGATTTTGATAGCGTGAATGATTATGAATGTCGCCAGAACGAATGAATAACTGAATGTGGAATAGTTCTGAATGTCACCAAATGCCGTGAATACGCATTCACGGCATTTGGTAAGATTGGGCCCCGGATCCGACGGGATCATAGATCCAGCTCTTTAATTTAGCGAGAGATCCGTAGGGATCATAGATCGGAGTCTTATTTTTTGTCAACACAGAAATCCCCGAAAATCACTCGTTGCAACTAACAAAGTTCTATTTTAGTGATTTGATGTGATTGCACGTCATAATGCATAGTTTTGTGGCACTTATTGACTTAGAAACACCTGGAAGCCTGGCTTCAAATGATGTGCATGGCGGGATCCACTCAGATCATAGATCCACGTTCTTGGTTTATCGTCAGATTCTATGAGATCATAGATCCAGGATAAAATTTTCACGCCAGATCTGGCGGATCATAGATCCTAGCCTGCTGAGTTTCCTCCGAGATCCACTGAGATCATAGATCCATCACTCGGATCCATGCACATGTCTGGTATACCAACGCATTTCTATGAAAAATGCCTCCGTTGCCACTGCCCACCTTTTCACTGAGGTCACCAGGGCATTGACTTCGGGAACCTCTCGCGCCACAGACGCCAGCGGGCTGTGCGCAGTCTGTCATGCAGTATACCATCAGCTGGCAGGCACAAGTGACTCACTTTGCTCCGGCTGTCTGTCTCGGTCGGGGTCGTCGCCATCTCAATTACGGCGCGGTGCTCGTCGTCTGCACTCTGGACCCACTGAACTCAGAAACACGCATTTAGGGAATGAGTCATGAAAAGACCAGACCGTTTTAGTGCGCAGATGTTGTCTTTACTTAGCATACCTATCCGCATTGTGTGTGTGTGTGTGTGTGTGTGTGTGTGTGTGTGTGTGTGTGTGTGTGTGTTTTTAACAGTTTTGATTCACTATATAGCTATAGGTCGACTGGTGGTATTTCGTTGGCTGCTTTTGATACTGATTCGCAGGTGCTGAATGCCCACTAAAGCATTGACAGCTGATGAGCAATATCAACTTCGCACACTAATTTCGGCTATTATACCTATTTTTTCAGTAAACTGATCGTTGTGAAAAACATTCCGTTGATGCTATTGCTATTGATCAACCTGCCTCGTCCAAATCCTCAATTGAATCAAAATATAAATATCAAAATTACAAAGTCAAGCACCAACTGAGCTTTTATACCATTCGACTCAGCTCGACGAGCTGACTCGACGATCTTTGGTTGATAAAAGTCGCAATCGAATATACCCAACTTTGTAATTTAGTCATTTATATTTTGATGCAATTGAGGTTTTGGTCAAGTAACATATGCTGATGGTTTTCCTCACAACTCTTTCAAACCTTCCTCGTCAACTAGAGTTTCGTGTATTGTGAAAAAGGCATGCACTGTATATGTCGACATAACTTCCCTTTTAGTTTCAATTCTTTGGTTTTTATATAAGGAACTTCTTTGCTGGGTTACTCTGGGGTGAAATTGTGAAAGCCAAAGAGCTCGCTTTATTGATCGGCTTATCATTGGAATAAAAACAAATGTTGACAATACGAATGGGAGTTTTAGGACTCCTTAGGTTCACTTATGTAGAAGGAGATGTTCAAATGAGACACTTGCTTTTTAATCAAAGATTAATATTCCCTCCTATCTGTTCGTCATTTTTGGACGAACTATATCATGTTGCAACTCCGACTCAATTTCGAGACGACCAATTCGGCGACGCTATGACGACCTTCAAGGCGCTAACAAGTGTCCATTCAGAGGACAATACTGCGCTCTTCTGCAGCCACCAGCCCACTGTGAAGCACTCAGCTGAAAAGAGCAATGCATCACGCGACGATAGCGGACGGCGGTGACAGCCAGCGGTCGCGGGTCGGGACGCGGTGCACAGCGGCGGTGGACAGTGGTGTCACTCGACCGCCGCACCCACCACAATTATCGCCAATTTCGCCAAATTATTTTCGAGAACGGTTAAAGCGGAATTCACCCTAGACCTAGAGTCAGACGACTGCCCTCAGCCCTACTCTAACATGAAGTTTGCTTTGAGTTCCACTGACATCATACATACCTAGATCCAACAATCGTAAGTCGTATCGTCTCAAATGTGTGATTTCTTATATGTACATTTTTCAGTATGCCTACTAAATCCTTGACTTTACTTTACAGGTTTCTTGACGTTCATAAACTGCTACAATGTGCGGTGGTCCTCAACAGTTCAAGAGGTGTTCACTGGAGCTAAGATTGTAGCACTTATCATCATCATCGGAACAGGTTAGTGGAATGTGATTCGGCAATAATGTGCTGGAAAACAGACTCAATAATATTTTTTTTTTTTCGGCCAAATCTTACACATTTGGGTGCATAGGCTAGGCCACGGAATATATAGTCTACGACATATACGATATATACATACGACTAGAATATATGTCGTAGACTATATATTCCGTGGCATAGGCCTCTCTCAAGGGCTTGCCAGCATATAATGGTTAGGGCGTTATAGGGTAATGATTAAGTAAAATAAAGTATATTCCAGTTCATTGTTTTTGTTCTGTGAATTACAAACGTACCGAAGCATTTGGATTTCGGCTTCATCTTTTTTTCGGCTTCGGCTTCATTTGGATTTCGGCTTCATCTCCGTTGATCTCGTAGTTAACTTTGTATGCACAACGAAAATTGGCATATACGTAAGCCAATTCTCGGTAAATAGGCATGACTCATTTGACCGTTGCCTTTCTCACGGGACAGGTGTATACGTGCTAGGTACCGGTGACTTCAGCAAATACAGCCAGCCGTTCGAGGGAACGCGCCTGGACCCGGGACGGATCGCGCTGGCGCTCTACTCTGGCCTCTTCTCTTACGCCGGATGGTGGGTATTGACCTCCCATAGGCTTACTAACCTACGTATACTGTGACACTCATTGTGCGACATGTTGGGTTCGTCCATGGTCCAGTGTCCGTATGGTTAGGGTAATGATAAAAATCAATGGTGCGCTCATCACTTTTTGCCAATTTAAAGTGCTGTTTTGATAGTTGTACTCGCCGTGACAGGTTGAACCAACACCTCGTTTACCGTGTATGGCTATTGGCTGTAAATCGGGATGCATGCATGATGTGAATAATTTTGCGAAGTGGGCAGTGTGACTCACATATCCTCTACTTAACCCGCGACCGATCTTCGTCGGAGCTACGGCCGTCACACTTCGTGAGAGGTAGGTATTCAATTTCGACTAAACCGACATTGTCTCGAAAGTCAAAGCCCAAAGCTCGACGTTGGCCCCAGGCTCTGACACAAGGCTCTTGCCTTACCTCTCGCTCTCTTACCTTAACTACTCTCGATTATTCGGCTGCATTTGATAAAAAGTTGTCTCCCTTAACAGCGCAATAGCGGAATGAGTTGCATGCTGATTGTTGAGCTTATTTTTCACAAAGCACAGTACTATGTCACATAGAGCGTTTATCGCTCGTCTGGGCACATTATGCACTTTATTTACATCTTATGGTGAAAAGGCTTCAATGGCCCGCAATTTAGTGTCATATTTCTTGCATGAGGTACTGCTCTGCTGCTGACAAACATAACCATTCATCTCGTCGACTGCTGCATATTTTAAATTGTTTATTTTATATATCTAAGCTCGAACATTATAATTTGAGCACTTTCTTTTAGTTGAGCCAGAAGCGTTGTACATAGAACCGGTGTCGCAGCTCAAGTACAGCCGGTTACAAGTTGGTCGATAGGGACTGTATCATAGGCGTGGGAGCCATGAGGTTCCCGGGGTCTGAGCCCCTCTTGACTTTTCGATCGGGAATTTCATAATGTATTTAACCCCCTCCTTCCAAGCTCTGGGCATCTATAAAATCTAACAATATTCAAATCTAGCAACTCTTCTTGGAATGAAGACCTCCTCCGGCGACCCGGGCCGGTGTGATACGGCATGGATAGGCTGTGCCGCATAACACTCAAGCCAAGCGGCACAGTCTACCATGCAGTACCAGGTGGCTGCTACTGCACAGTGCTGATGCATAGATTACCGGTGGATAATGAGTCACTGTAGATCAACCTGTAACCGACCGAACAATAAAATGGAGAGTTCCTTACCCCAAAACGTTGTATATTGTATGACGTTTATGTATATTTTAGACATTGTAGCTATATGTATGTACCTACGTAGGGGAGAGTGGGGTGGGTTGTATCAGTTTTTACTCCGAGACCCATAACCTCGTAACTATCCGTGATAAAGTCATTATTTCCATACTATCTCCTTCCTTGATTCTTCTGCTTTTTTGTGCAAAGTAACTTTTCCGCTACCTCTATCAGTTTTTCTTCTACGGTCTGCCGAATAGAACAATGTTTTTGATGCAACTTGCCCCATGGCTTGGGTGAGTTGTATCACATGGTGGGGTAATTTGTATCACTATTTCACGTTTCAGGGAGTGTGCTTGCTACTGGTTTTGAACATAACAACAACATCAAGTGGGGTTAATACAATGTATATGCTCAAAGGCTTCACTTTTATTAGACCAAACTTAGGTCAATCCGAACGAAACATCGAAACGAACAAAACATCAACAGACTAGACGCAAAAGTGGCCCGTTAGGAGCAAAGAAGCCAACAAATTGTGCCGAAATGGAACGAGTATTGACTAGCTACCTACAAACGCGAGCCAGGGCTTAGCTTTCGCGATCAAAAGCAACATACCCATACATACATACATACATACATACATACATACATGTTACAACATACCCCACCCGGCTCTGATACAACATGTACCTCGCCGCCATCTTGGAAAAAACATCCTCGTGCTCAAAAACAGCGGACAGCTGGAGAAATCCATTTTCACTCACGCAGCCTTAGAACCTACACTCACCACCGCTACGGAGATCTTTCAAATTCGTGCACATCTAAATGCCCAAAACACACATTTTCTTGCAACTTATTTTTTTTAGAATGACATTAAAAAAAAACATAAAATCGGCTCTCACCTCGAGACGCGTCCACCCAGCCACACGACAGAACAGGGAAAGATGGCGCCCGGAAAACCTCGTCGGCAGGTCGTGTCACAAGCGCCATCTATTGGATAAGTTTGGCACAATTCGCCCTGATACAACTTGGACATGATACAACTCTCCCCGCTCTCCCCTATATAATACGGAACGTTCGTTACCCGGAAAAACAGCAAATTTTGCACATCTAAACGTCGAATTTCTCAAGGACATTTGTCGCTTAGATATGAAATGTTTTCTCCAGTCAGTGGAAACTGGAAAGTGATAAAGCTGTTTCTGCTTCTTCTTTATAACTAATGTATGTTTTGTATCCGCTGTGTATTCTTTTGTGCCATCTTTCTATTTTACCTCTGACTCTATTTTAACACCAACGGTCTTGTTGTTCTTTCAGGAACTATCTCAACTTCGTGGTAGAAGAACTCAAGGATCCATTCAGGTAAGGGATGACGAATCGTTCTAAGGTGGACTCGCATCCCTGCTTTCATCGGTTTCTTACGTTCGTTATGTAGAGTTATCACGGGTGGATGATAACTCTACATAACTCTACATACTAGATGATAACTCTACATACGTTACCATACCTGGAGTCATCATACGTTCACGTAATTAGTTATGATTAAATTGATGTTCAAAGCGTTTAAACATTTTCTCGGGAACTCTCTCAATACAATGCACAGGTTATCACTTTTGACCATTCGAGGGTGTGAACTGTGACTGTCTTTAATCAAATGACCTTTCATGACCTTGAAGCCAAGTGGATCTTATTATGACATAGGTACCGCTATTAAAACTGATAGGTAACACAGAATGAATATGAATGCGGCAGGAGCCTGCCGCGCGCCATCTACATCTCGCTGCCGCTGGTCACTGTCGTCTACCTGCTGGCCAACGTGGCCTATTTCGCCGTGCTCTCGCCGACCGAGGTGCTGGCCTCCAACGCTGTGGCAGTGGTGAGTGGGTGTAGCCGCATTTATATTATTACCTATATACTTAGCCCCGAGCTCAACCACCAACAAAAACAATCACCAGCTTCAGATCATCAGAAGTCCCTGCAAGCGGACTCTGACAGAAACATTCAAGCTATAGTTTCAGCCAAGCGGTCAGGAAACAGTACAGTCAGCCAAGCGTTGCCAGAAAATCAACACTTCAAGCTCGTATGAAGTTGAGAAGGAAACAGCGTTTGGGCCTATATTTTAGCATGGCAAAATTAGCTAGATGCTTTCGTTTTGTGAGGAGATGTAACGCAAGCATGTCCAGAACAGGGTTGTATACGACTCAATCAATAGCAATCAATTCAATCACGACAAATTTGGGAAACCAATCAAATCAATCAAGTCAGAGCAGTTTTCGGGAATTGATTCAATCGACTCAAACGCGACAATGAAAGGAATCAATCAACTCAATCAATCGACTCAAACCAAGATATACATTAGGTTTTTTGCCCCACCAACTTGGAAAGTGTCCATAGCAGTCTGGTGTACCTACCTACCTACCTACCTACGTACCTACAGAAGAAACATAAAAATATTTTCATTTAAAATTATAAATTGCCATGCCATTCAAAGTTTCTATGTAATAAGGAAGGATACCTAGTGATGGACAGGTGGATCATGATATTGAGGTTCAATGGGTAGAATTGGAGCAGAAGTTTCATTTAATGGGTGCAAAATAACCCAGTAGTTGACTTCAACAAACGCCCCTTAACCCAAATCACCACCTTTCACCTAAAAGTTGTCAATTTAACCCTCGCATGTGTGCGGCGTTTGCCAGCTTCTAATGTGTAGGGGGGGGGTCGGTTGGACCCCCCCCCCCTTGCCGTTTGGCCCCTGATCGAGCTAGAGCTTCGCGGAAAAAACGAGCGTGTTGCCCGTGACGAGAGGAAGCCGATGATACCCAATTTTAAGGTCCTAGGTCATTGGTTGACCTTCCAGGTCAGGTCAATGACCCAAAGTCGGGAAAATCGGGACCTGTTAGAAAGTCGTAAAGTGTGGCTGCTAAGGGGTTTTTCGGGGTGCTGATCACGAATATCGTGTTAGTTTTGATCACAGATGATATCTTGAAGCATTTAGACCAGGTCGGGTCAGGTCAGGTCAGGTCAACCAGTAGGCGTCGTGACGGGTATTCGTAGTACGTGTCAACCGCCTCTGACAGCTTCGTAACATGTTACGAAGTCACCAAAACTACTTCGTAAATGTTCAAATGGTTGCTAAATTCGAATTCAGCTCCAAAAACTAGCCTAGAAACATGTAAAACTCGAAAAAAGTGACCCGAGGTCACCCGAGGTCACCAAAGGTCAATGACCTGACCTGACCTTCAGGTGACCTTGACACACACGGGAGTAACATCAAATCACATGTTTGAACGTTTGAAACCACGAAAAGCTTGCAAACACGCGGCTAGTGCGAGCCGACATACGCGAAATCGCGATTCCGGCCAAACATGGTCTCGGAAAAGAGGTCACAGGTCAAAGGTCATTTGGGTCAGGGTCATGAAATTTTCAGGGTAGGTGTAAAATTGATCAATACGAGGGTACTGAAAGTTTCGTCGCGATCGGCCGCTTTTTACGCGAGTTATTCGCGAAAAACCATGGGGGGGGGGTCCATCCGACCCCCCCCCCCCCCTACACATGCGAGGGTTAATTTTGGCCATATTCCAGCTAAGTCATCAGGCCATCTACCTCATGTTAAGCCCCCGTCTGTCTCTTATGTGAGTTATGCGGAGCTCTTCTGAATTGAACCCTGAACATAATGAACCTAGCTAGGTTTCATGCCACACTGACACCATATGAAAGTGTTGAAAATGTGCTACAAATTTGACAACTTCATTAGGTATGCTTTATGAAGACAGTAGGAAAGCAGGTAGGTACCTACTTACCTGCCTAGATGTGTCACTGGCTACCAACAGTACCAACGAAGGTAGATAGGTTATATGTGAAGAATTCAAAACATTTTTTGCAATACAATTTGAAACTGTTAGGACTGGGGGATAGGGATGAACATTAAAAATATATTTAAGAGGAAATGGAAAGGACAGGGACTCTGGAACCACAGGATAAGTTAAAGACAAAGGAAGAAGGTACAAGGAAAATTAAAACGCGAAAACGGCACGGTGCGACTGCGAAAAAACAAAGAAAACGTTTTGCCGATAAGTATGCTAAGCTTTTATAAATCCTTATTCTACGTCTTTTGATTTTTTGGTAAGATGACGTCATTGGTTATCATGTAGTATGATAGATCATCATAAAATAAATCGGTTGTACAACATTAATTTCGTTTTAATTATTATTTCATTTGAAATAAAACCACTTAATAATATTCGGTAAAATATTTTAAGGAAAATGAAATATATTTAATATGTTATGCTTAGGCTCTCAGGAGAAAAGTATCAACAAACGTTCTGTTGCAAATTAAACAATGTAGCAAATTAGCTATTAATTTACGTAAACGTTATTAGCGAGACGAAAACGACGCTTTTGTTTCAGTTATTTTTGTAGGAGTTTCAGATATTTATAGAGTTCAGTGGGTTGTTTCTGAGGAGATGTGGAGATGTGAATTATTAATTAATCACACTTTATTAGTATATAGGGCCTTGCACTTTATCATCTGGATTAAAAAAAAGTTTCCTGCTGAGTGCAGAAAGGTAGGTAGGTGCATCGCCAGGTATTATCTCATCCATGGCCAGGTTCTATCACAGGATTGGAGCAGTTATTGCAGTTGAAAGTCAAAGTTGGCTGTTCATGTTTAGGCCCTGTTCTTTATTTGGCCATCTACCCCATATTGCAGTTGTGATGACAAGCAGTTTTCAGTGTAGTTTTGTGATCTTTGATGTCATCAATTGGTGTCATTATTTTTCGTCAACTAAAACTTATTTAAACTTTCCATTCAATCGACTCAATCATACGAGTCACTCTAATTTTCGGGAATCAAATCAGTCAACCAGTCGCTAAAGTCAAACGAGTCAGTCAACCAGTCATCTCGAAAAGTCAATCGACTCAATCCAATCAACTCAAAATACGCGTTGAATCAAATCAATCAATTCAATCGACTTGATTGGTATACAACCCTGGTCCAGAACCGGACATGGCATAAAAAACATTCCCCGCTAATATTTTTCTTAGTTTGTAGTTTCCTAGTTGACAAGAGATTTTGTTTAGATGGTTTGTAATGATAATAGTGATAAGTGGTCCCCCTCCAACTGCTTTAAAGTGACCATCCCACCTTAACATTAGTTTTGAGTTGAGATAGCCAAATTGGTGGCCATGGCCTGCAAATACCGGTTTGGGCACTCACAACATCGACAAATGCTTAAATTCGGAGATATGGAATTTCAAACTTGCAGTTTTCGGATTCTAAGGGGCTAGTGCATTGGTATGCCCCCTTAGAATTTGTGACGTCAGCGGAGATCTAACGATTTTTAAATCTTTTACTAAAACGTTTGGTAGCACGCGGTGGTATATGCTGCTTTGCGCGCAACAAATGCCGCACTTTCAAATAAAGTCGCTAGGAACAGCGGAGATCCCAAAAAGTAAACAAAAGTAAAAGTCTAATATCTTGAAAACCGGTGAATATTTTTCGATGAAATTTGGTAGATATTCGTTTTCGCTCTTTCTGAACCGAGCGACATCACTTTCGTGCCAATTCATTAACTTTTTTGAAGGTGGGAGGGTCCCTTTAAATGTTTCCCCGGTCTATCGAAGCAGTAGATTGAATTCAGGGATTAATATTGCATGTTATCAAAGTTTAATTGCCATAATAAGTTTATTGGTCAATCGAGGCATCATTGTCAAGCCCTTTACTTTGCCATCCAGCTTTTTTATTTCTGGTTGCCATCTCTTATCCCAATATTTACCTATGTGTGTATTTATTATGTTGTCATGTCTTTTCCTGTAATCAGCATGCTCTAAGGTAGATTTGATGTGCCAACCCGCCTAAAAATGCAATATGCTTTAATCTCCATAGACCTTTGGTAACCGGATGCTGGGAGTCATGAGCTGGATGATGCCGTTCTTCGTCGCCTGCTCGACGTTTGGAGGGCTCAATGGCGGCATCTTCGCATCCTCGCGGTTATTTTTCGTTGGTGCCCGTGAGGGCTGCCTTCCGGTCGCCCTGGCAATGATAAACGTCAACAAGTTGACCCCAGTGCCTTCTCTCGTATTTTTGGTAAGTATTGATTCATTTTGTTGATGTGTGCTACGTGGCATGTATACAATACGTTCAATGGCGTCGTTTAGCGCTTTTCTCTCCCAAACATTTATCAGTTACCGATCGGTTTCTGTGACGCACCATTTCGTTTCAGTGCTTTCTCACACTCTGCATGCTGGTGACATCGGACGTGTACTCGCTGATCAACTACATCAGTTTTGTGGAGAGTCTGTTCATCACTATGTCTACGGCCGGCCTCCTGTACCTGCGCTGGAAACTGCCCGAGGCCCCGCGGCCGATCAAGGCGAGTTTAGACTCACCATTATCGGTGTAGAACGTCTCTCAATAGCCATCACGCGGTGTTAAGCAGAAACGTTGCTTGCTGCTGCAGCACTAATTTTATTTTGCTGCCTAAAAACATTTTTTTTGTATTTTCAATATTCAATTAGCCGATGTATGGCCAGAACTGATTAACGATTATTAATTCAGATTAATAATGGTTTCTCTAGCACGCTAGCAAACGTAAACGGCCATGGGTGGAGCTTTCCCAGGGAAGTTGGTGGGGCAAAAAGTCGTCAAACCTCAAATGTCCGATTGTTAGGTTAGATAAAGTGCAACATTGAATCATTTTTTCATTACAGAGATAACATTTTGTATTACACACACATTTCAAAGCTCCTCAATGCGAAAACAAAGTCCTACAAATCAGCGTAAGTTGGTGGGGCAAAATGTTTATTGGTGGGGAAAAATGGCAAGTTGGTGGGGCACCCGCCCCACCAACTGAATAGGAAGCTCCGCCCCCGTAAACGGCTTCCCGTTCTACATTGCTTCCATTACGGCAGCAGTATCGGATGACAATTGGTTTCTCCATTACAAACGCAGGTGAACATCGCGCTGCCGATCATTTTCCTGGTGGTGTGCCTGTTCCTGGTGACATTTCCCATCTACATGACGCCGGTGGAGGTGGGCGTGGCCTGCGGTATCATCCTGTCGGGCGTGCCCGTCTACCTGGTGGGCGTACTGTGGCGTCGGAACGTCTCCTGCCTGGACGGCCTCATGGGTACGTGACAGTCGCCTCTCCATCGTACGGCACGAATGAACTGAGTCGTATTGAGTTTTTACGCTCACTTTTTTAAACTGACATTTTGGATGATAGTTATGAGATGTTACTTTTACGGTGTGGTCGCTCACAATTTTCATTGTGTCGTATAATACGCTCTAAGCAATGCTGAAGATCTCTATATTTAATTTAGTAGCTAGATTTGTACCTAAAGGATGTATGTTCTCTGCTATCATGTGTGGGAAATCAAATTAAACACTATATCATGACTTCTTGTTTTCAGATTCCATGAATAACGCGATACAGAAGTTGACCAACAGTGTGATCGACACATCCAAAATGGATTGATGGTGCTTCGAACGCGGCTTGCGTTTTCCCAAGCTGTGATTTCGGACCGCGCTGTGCCGTATCGGAGGCCGCCGTCGGTCGGGTCGCCATCTAGCGGTGTGGCGCAGAGCCATAGTGTAATTGGTCGCCGGTAGGTGACGCCAATGGCGGCACGGGACTCGCCGAGTCAAGATGCGTGTTGTCGTTTCCGAGACATGAGCCTCGGCCGATTGTGAGCCGTGTGCAGTTGGGTGCCGGGTCGACGCGACCAGTGTTGCGATGACTGGTGCGATCCAGCCGGTTCACTCGTGCGTGTCGCTGTGTGAGCCAATGTGTGCATGTGGGCATTTCTGACCCCTGTCCTGCGGCCAAACGGGGAATAACAAGCGGGTGGGCGTCTTAGGCCGGTTTGTGTACGAAGCTGTACACAGGTAGACGACTTGAAGCGAATGGCGACTGTTAGGTGACTTGTACGTTTTTATGCATCGTTATAGCAATAAGCCATCGAGTAAATTTATTGGCTGGGTAAATTTGTTTAAAAGAACGTTTGTTGACTGACCTTCGCGCATTTTCTCCTACTTACTAACCAATGACGTGGAACACATGTTCATCGTGTTGGATTATCACCATACATTAGTTGATAACCCTAGCGAAGCCACGTACTTCGCTAGAGTAGTTTGACAGTTGAACGACGTCAACATTTAGCCATAAGGTATATGTGCTGGTGTGAGAATGATGTGTTTTCCTGTAGACGCCTATTTTAATAACACGAGTGTTTGCCAATGTGTTAATGAGTAGACCGGTAAGATGCTCTTGACAGCACGTATCTGGCTTTGGAGCATGTTTGTAGCGGTCAATAAAATATTTTGAGCCTTTGGAACGAGCAATCGTGAGTAGAATCGGAAAACTATTTTTTTAATACCTTAACCACTGTGGTAAATTATCTTGCAGTAACTTCTAAGCAAATATATATAGCTGCTTAGTAGAACTCATGCTCGTGCGCACCCAAATTAAAACTAAATCTGGGACTGGTTGACTGCTCAAACCTGCGTTTAATCTTGAACTTTTATTAACCTCGAGCAACACGTTCAATTCACATTTACGAGCTGTGGCGTCAGAATTCAACAATAAAACATAACAAACACAAACAAGCGCATGTGCACATCGACCAACATAATGCCCAAAATGGTATGATCGCACTTGACAAAACTAAAAACATTTAAACTTAACGAAAAGGTAAACGAAATGGGGGTAGGGCAACGCCGGCAATATCCACGTAAGATCGAGTCCTCTGAAGCCTATAACAAACAAAAACAAAACACTGAAAATGAACAAAGTGGTGTGATAACATGGCATGCCTACCTACAGCAATGGCATGCATTTTCCACTGATCGCACTCGAACACGCATTTAAATCGCAACAGACGTATTGTGCGACTGGTAACGTCCTGCCCGCTCGGTCCCCTAAATGGCTCTGTATGTATGTTTGTATTTAGTTCAACACTGCCCTGTCAAAGCTGACTGGTCTTTGGAGGCGGGTCATCGCTAACGCGTCGTTCCCCGTTGCTTTGGTGGAGTTTATCGTTCGCAGGCTGTCTTCCAGTCATCCCCGCAGGTTGGTGACACGTCTCCGCGAGCTCTGTCGGGCAGGTGCCGCCCAGACCGGCGGAGAAGAGCCGCTGATACTCGTCGAACCGGCCGCCACGGTGGGAGGAGAGCAGCAGGCTCACCGGCACGCTGCAACGAGTGTCAGAGTTACACTGACGCTCAGTAGTTGGTCAGCAATCCCGAGCCCTCAGCAGCTAGCTTCTGTGGTATCAGCTATCACACCTTCATGGAAGGCAAGTGAGTGAAGGGGGGCAGGTAACCTTCTGCTCCATTGGCAGCAATATGCAACAAATGTTAGTCGGCATTGAATGACCACTTAGGTACCTGATTCAAAATATTAGAAAACAATATCACAAAAAAGTAAACTTAGGCAAGTGAGTAATCCCTGACTGATCGGCAGGCTGACCGCCGGGGACCTGAGGACTTTGCCCTCACCTGGCGATGGCGAGCAGCGGCCGGTCCGCCCCAGAGCTGGCCACCAGGTCACACAGGCGGCGCTGGAAGCACGGCTCGTGGCGCCAGCTGCGCGCCGACACCAGACTGAGAAGAGTCCTCACCACCGCTGAAATCACATCCAACAGTCAGCTAAAACGGGGTTCTAGTTGCGATAACGGAGCCCGAAGGCATTTCACGAAACGCCTCTGGTGGCGACGGTTTGCACTTCACAGCAGGTGACCGGAAAATACTGATGCTTTCCGAAAGTATGGGTACAACTGGTCTCCGAAGTCCGAACTACTTTTCAAATAAAGCCATCTGAGTCCGATGGCTTTATTTCAAAAGGAGTAGACAAGGACAGTGAGCCTAAGCAGCTAAAGGATCCTTTTGACTTCGGCGTCAACTGTCAAGTCAGGTCGCCCTTGTGCGCCACCCGCCGTCACAAGGCATTTAGCAATAAGCAAATATGGTAAGTAAGTTCCCAAAAACCGACCCAAATCCGGCCCATGAGACTCTGTGATACACATCGCCCTCAAGGTGCATACGACAGGACTTATCTACGCCCTGTACAAACCTGCAGTGCGAGGCGCGGAAGCTGAGCGGCCGTTGTTGGTCGCCGTATTGGTGTTGGTAATGACGTCGTTGTCATTGTTGGTGAGCGTGTTGGTGTTGGTGTTGACCGGGTTGGCGTTGGCAGCCGTGGTGATAACGTCGTTGTCCGTGTTGGTCAGTGTGGGACTGTTGGTGTTGGCAATGGTGGTGGTGTCGGCATCGTTGATGGTGACGGTGACGCTGCCGGAAGAAGCGCCGGACGACGCTGCTGCCGCCGTGGACACGGAGGTCGAGTAGCCAACCAGCAGAGCCAGCGGCAGGAAACCGAGCAGGTCGCCGAGGTTCGACTTGCAGTCGCACATAACTCGCTTCCCATAGGGCTTCGGGGTTTTTGGCTTCTTGTTTGATTTGATGTGGCCTTTTGGTTTGCTCTTTCGTCGGAAACTTGACTTCAGTTTTGCTCTTAGATTGTCAAGGCTCAGATTCAGATTGATATTAAGCCCGGGCTTCTTTTTGGCCTTCTGTTGTCCCTTTGAAGCGATTTTCGTTTGTGCCTTATTCGTTGTTTGGTTGCGAATTTGACTGTATGGCATAGCGGTATCGTTCTTATTGTTTTTCTGTATATCGCCTTTCGCAGTGGAAACGGCTGGAACCTGTCCTTGGACACGAGTAGTTGTTCGAGCCGTCTGTTTGCGAGGCCACCGTCGTCGAGAGGACCCCCGAAGTCGACTCATTGGCTGAGAGCGGTGCGGTGGTATCAGGGGCCGATGTCCGGTCGAACGCGGCGCCATGACATTTGCGCGAGCACCTTTCTGTCGGGAGGTCCCCGCTCTACGCCAATGGGGCAGCACAGCACCAAGGCGCGGCTTCTGCCTGAGAGAAGGCCGCACTCTCAAGGTGTGCACCATTCCCCTGGGATGCAGCACCATCTCTCCGGATGGATAACTCCGGGAACTTGTCGTGTGGTTAGCAGATATCCCCATCTGACGGGCTTGGGCCGTTTGCCGGCTGACCAACACCAGCCGCTGCCCCCTCCGTACGGTTTGTGCTAGGCTGGGCTGCCTGCGACCCAGCCAGGCTAACAATCGTCCGAGGCTGGGCCAGCGGCGGTGGCTGGCGGCCGGGTGGCGCCGCTGTGCTGGCCGCGGCTCTGCAAGAGGGTGCCGCTGTGCCGGCTGCGGCTCTGCAGAGGGGTGTCGCTGTGCTGGCCGCGGTTCTAAGATATGAGGCCGCAGCTGTGCCGGTTGCGACTCTGTATGTGGGCTCCGCTGTGCTGGCCGCGGCTCTGTGTTTGGGCGCCTCTGTACTGGCCGCGGCTCGGCGGGGTGGCGCCGCTTTGCCGGTCGTAGCTTGATCGGCTGGACTGGAGACGTCTCCAGCAGTCGGTCAGTCGGAGACTGACCTGCTGTTTGCCACAAAACAGGTACCGACGCAGCGCTTTCGGCAGTCGTTCCGTTCATTTCTTCCTTCTGCTTGAACACTGGCGGGTCTATATGCTCTCCGCCGTCTATCGCTCCCTGTCCAGAGGAGTGATCGACTCCAGGATCCTCTGTCACCAGCACAGGTTTCTGGGTGACGCCGTCCCGGTGACCTGACCGGCCGACCGGCCGTGCGGTGTGTCCGGTCTCCCGTGCTGGTGCGTTGGTGGTTGTCGTTCCGCTGGCGAGCGAGTTGAACAGCTCCGGCCAGGTGAGGCGGCCGTTGCGCCTGGAGTCGGCTTCGGGCCGCCGTTTGCGTACGTTGATGGGCACGCCGAGCTGCTCGAGGCGCCGGCCGGTGCCGAGCCGGTGCGGTCGGCACAGCCCGGCGGAGTGGCACCGGTCGGGCGATACCGTCCCGTCCAGCCACCGCAGCAGCAGCGTCGACATCGGGCGCAGACCTGCAGCGGGACAACCGCAGTGAGTTACCATGACATGCTGATGCATTTAACATTAGCAACCGTATTTCATTTTCAAAGACTAGGTAAACTGGGAATTGAATGAATCTTAAGAAAAAATTACATGTAACTGGGGGATCGCTCATAATCAGAATTTATTAATTAATCCTCGCATGTGTGGGGGAGGGGGTCGGATAGACCCCCCATGGTTTTTTGCGAATAACTCCCGCAAAAAGCTGCCGAGCCCCGCGAAACTTTCAGAACCCTCGAGTTGATTAATTTTACACCTACTCTAAAAATTTCATGACTCTGACTTAAGTGACCTTTGACCTGTGACCTATTTCTCGAGGCCATGTTTGGCCAGAATCGCGATTCGGCGTACGTCGGCTCGCATTCGCCGCGCGTTTGCAAGCTTTTCGTGGTTTCAAACGTTCAAACATGTGATTGGATGCTGCTCCCATGTATTAGGGTGGATGTCAAGGTCACCTGAAGGTCAGGTCAGGTCACTGACCTTTGGTGACCTCGGGTCACTTTTCGAGTTTTACATGTTTCTAGGCTAGTTTTTGGAGCTGAATTCGAATTTAGAAACCATTTGAACATTTACGAAGTAGTTTTGGTGCCTTCTAACATGTTACGAAGCTGTCAGAGGCGGTTGACACCTACTACGTCTACGAATACCCGTCACGACCCCTACTGGTTGACTTGACCTGACCTGACCCGACCTGGTCTAAATGCTTAAAGACATCATCTGTGATCAAAACTAACACGATATTCGTGATCAGAACCTCGAATTCCGAAAAAACCATAGCAGCCACACTTAACGACTTTCTAACAGGTCCCGATTTTCCCGACTTTTGGGTCATTGACCTGAACTGGAAGGTCAACCAATGTCCTAGGACCTTAAATTTGGTATCATCGGCTTCGTCTCGTGACGGGCAACACGCTTGTTTTTTTCGCGAAGCTCTAGCTCGATCAGGGGACAAACGGCAAAGGGGGGTCCAACCGACCCCCCCCCCCCGACACGTTAGAAGCTGGCAAACGCCGCACACATGCGAGGGTTAACGAAAGAACGCTTCGCGCTCGTTATTCATACCTAACGAGTTTCATATTTAATTCTCCCGATTTTCAGTGCGCCACCTCTTTTCTGGATCTAGCCGACTGCTTAAGGTCTCCCCCCTCCCCCCACCCACCCCCGAGCGCTCGTGAACGGGCAGTGGCCGCACTCACCGGGCAGGCTGGCCGGTGATGATCGCGAGCGGGCGGTGGCCGTGGACGTGGAAGTGGCAGTGGTCGTTCCGCTCGTCGCGGCCACCGTGGCCAGCGAGCCGGCGTAGATGAGCAGAGCCAGCAGCGAGGTGAGCGCCGCCAGCACGCCCGGCGTCACCGACGACTCGGGACAGCGGCACACTGGCTCGTGCCGGTCCCCACCGGCGCGACGCCGCATGCCGGCGTTATCCAGATGCGAGGCCACGAGATTGGCGCCGACTCCGACCACCACATCCAGGGCGTCCGGGCCGTCAAGCTGACCGAGCCGGTCCCTTAGCCACAGCAGCTGCTCCGCCAGGCCGGCCTGGGGCGGAGCCGGCTCGCCCTGCACGAACTGGGAGCCGAGCTGAGTCAGTCGACTCACCAGAGGCTCCAGGGGTGGGTCCCCGGGAGGCGCCGGCACAGAGTCGCCACCGCCCACCAGGTCCGTCCAGATGGCGGCCGAGACGTTCTGAGAGAGCAGACCGGTGACTGCTGGCTCATCAGACAGCACTTGGTCTGCAGACGACAGGGGTTTCATTGTGACGTGTTGGTCGGCCACTGGCGGCTGCGACGGGGCCATGGCCGATGCAGGTCTGGTGTCGCTCTTGGGGAGCGATGGCAGGCGTGTCTGACCTCGGCGCCGGCCTGGTACGTTCTCCGTACGGGGTTGTTGCTCCTGTGTAACTGGCTTGTCGACACGGGAGATGCTGCCGTTGTAGATTTCGGTCCAGATGCTCTGTCGACCAGCTGTGAACCATGGTGGCATCTGATGCCCTGTATGTGTGCTGGGTAATCCCGTTCCATCATCTTTGACCTTGGAAGACCAGCCGTCTAATGGCCCCAGCACCGGCTCCGAGAGCATGACGCGCCGCCCGGCGGACGCGTGCTGCGCCCCGACCGTGTTGGCCTGGTAAAGCGCGCCGTGTCCGCCGACGGCGTCTGTGATCGGAGAGCTGGCCAGGAAGCCGTTGGCAGGCACCAGGTTCTGCACGTTGTAACGCGTGACGGGCGCCTCGTCCATGTTGTGGCTGGAGAGAGGACCTGCTGTGGCATCGTTGGGCCCTGAATGGTCCTGGTTGCTAATCGTATTGTTGGTCGCAACGTCGTCTGTTGTCTCAAGCTGAAAGCTATCAGAAAGGTCACTGACTTGTTTGGTAGAGGTTTCTGAAGGCCTACTTAATGCTAGTGCGGAAGTGACGCCACTAACATCGACCCAAGCTTCGGGCATCATTGCCTGCATCGTCTTAGCGGGGCTTGTGGTGTTGTAGCTTGTGACTTGACTTGTTCTGTTGTCTGACTTGCGTTCATACAAGACCGGCGCCGTGCCGGCCACTGGGTCTCGTCTCCGCGTACCTGGTCTGTGCCGATCACCCGCTGCTCGGTCCGCCGGTCTCCTCACTGAAGTCTGCACAGGCAGGCGCGGTACGCCCACCAGGGTAGCTGACACGGGC